ATAAAAACGAAATACTAAACCATAAATTCAAACCATCAAAACTAAACCCAAACCATTCAAACTAAATACTAAACCCTAAACCCTAAATTCAAACCATCAAAACTAAACCCTAAAACATTAAAACTAAACCCTAAACCTTCAATACTAAACCCTAACCCTTAAATACTAAACCCTAAACCCAAAATTCAAACTCAAATATTGAAATAATAAATCCTTTTAAGAGTTATAACTTAATTGAACAATCAAAACTAAACTCTAAACCTTTAATACTAAACTCTAAATCATAAATACTAAACCCTACACCCAAAATACTAAACCCAGACCCAAATATATAAATTATAATTTTTTTTAAAGTTTATGATATGAATGTAAATATGGTATGAAAGGGGAAAAATAGTGATAGCATGAGAGAAAATAAAAAACATTATCATGATTTATGATTTTTTCTCTAATTTTGTGGAAATAATTATTTCTATAAAAACTAATCTTTGTTTATTAGTACATTTTACAAATTTACTTTAGTAATTTAAAAGAAAAAAAAATCATCTCCATTTATCTGAATATCTCTACAATAATGTGCTATAATGAGTTTGTTCAACTTAAATTTATTATATAACATGTTTTTTTATTAATACAATATTATTTATTAATTTAGTAATGTAAAACACATAAGATTAAAATGAAAACGTTTTGAAAAATAATTGTAGATGAAAACCAAAAATTAAAATAGTTACTATTAAATTTTTTTTTAAACTAAAATCTACAACAAAATCAAAAATCAAAATCCAAAAGCCAAAACCAAAATCAAAATCTTTAGTTATTAAAAAATTTAGAGTTTTCAAAACTTAAAAATGAAAATTGATAAATTTTTGAGAGAAAAAGTTGAATAATAAAGTAAAAAGTAATTGATATTAAAAGTGTTAGAAAATAAATGAAAACAAAAGTAAAAGAGAATTAAAATATGGTCCTCTTGTTATTTCTTAGGCGGGGTCCACACTCAATGGCATAGTTGAAATAATCTTATTCTCTAAAGGGTCCTTTTGTTATTTCTCAGGCGGGGTCCACAAGAATTGCCTCTTTGACCAATATAAACTTGGTGTTGCCTCTTTTCCCAATTAAAAACTTGAAATGTGTCCACTTTGCCAATTTTTCCAATGGTTAACCCTAGTCAATGATTGGTGAACCCATGAGAAAAAAGTCATAAAATATAAACCTTAAATGCTTAACCCTAGTCAAGGATTGGTAAATCATTGAGAAAGAATCATAAACACTAAACCCTAAACCATGGGGAACAACATAGGTGTAATATTGGGAAAATTTGTAAAGTTTAAAACATAAATGGTAATCCCTAGTCAAAGATGGTGAACCCATGGGAAAATACATAAACCCTAAACCCTGATTACTAAACCCTAGTTAAATCCTTGGGAAAGAATCCTAAACCCTAAATAGTAAATACTAAACCTTGGAAGGATTAATGAATCGATGGAAAAAATTGTAAACCTTTAAACCCTAAACCATAAACACTAAACTCTAGTCAGGTATTGGTGAACCATGTAAAAATCATAAACCCTAGTCGCAGATTAGCGAGTCTATGGGGAAAAATTATAAACTCTAAAACTTAAATGGTAAACACTAGTCAATGATTGGTTAACCCATGGGAATAAGTCATAAACCTAAACCCTAAATGTTAAACCCTATTTAAGGATTGGTAAATCCTTGGGGAAGAATCTTAAACCCTAAATGGTAAATACTAAACCCTAGTTAAGGATTAATGAACCCATGATAAATTGTAAACCTTAAACCCTAAACCCTAAACCATATGGAATAATATAGGGGAAAATTAATAAAGGCTAAAACCTAAATGATAATCCTTAGTCAAGGATGGTGAACCCATGGGAAAAGTCATAAACCCTAAACCCTAATTGCTAGATCCTAGTAAAGAATTGGTACATCTTTTGTGAAGAATCATAAACCAAAAATAATAAATACTATACCCTAGTCAATGGTTGATGAACCCATGTAAACAATTGTAACTTCAAACCCTAAACGCTAAACCCTTAACCATGGGGAATTAAATAGGGGAAAAATAATAAAAGGTAAAACCTAAATGGTAATCCCTAGTCAAGGATGGTGAACTCATGGGAAAAATTCATAAACCCTAAACTCTAATTGCTAAACCCTAGTCAAGGATTGGTACATCTTTCGGGAAGAATCCTAAACCCTAAATAGTAGATATTAAACCTTAGTCAAAGATTGATGAACCCATGGAAACAATTGTAAACCTTAAACCCTTAACGATAAACAATTGTAAACGTTAAAACCTAGGTTGGTTTTGATGAACCCATTCAAAATATTGTAAACAATAAATTCTAGTTAGGGATTGGTGAACCATGTAAAAATTATAAACCTAGTCGCGGATTAATAAGTCCATGGGAAAAAATTATAAACCCTAAAACCTAAATGGTAAAACCTAGCCAATGATTGGTGAACTCATTGGAAAAAGTCATAAACTCTAACCCTAAATGCTAAACCCTAGTCAAGGATTGGTAAACCTTTGGGGAAGAATGAGAAACTCTAAACCTTAAACCATGTGGAATAATATACTGTAGGTGTAATATTGGGGAAAATTAGAAAGTTTAAAACCTAAATGGTAATCTCTAGTCAAGGATGGTGAACCCATGCGAAAAAATCATAAACGCTAAACCCTAATTGCTAAACCCTTGTCAAGGATTGGTAAACCCTTGGGGAAGAGTCCTAAACTCTAATTAGTAAATACTAAACCCTAGTCAAGGACTGATGAATCCATGAAAAAAGTTGTAAACCTTAAACCCTAAACACTAGACTTTAGTCAAAGATTGGTGAATCCATGAAAATAGTGTACACACCAATATATGGTGTACGCGTCAATATATGGTGTACAAATATTTAATCATATCACTCTTAGCTATATTCAACACTAGATTTTATATCTCATTTCCAATAAATAATGGTGTACATATACGCTATATTATATGGTACGCATCCATAATGTACAATAAATATATATTGTAAGTGTCATATGGTGTACCATAAATATTTAGTTTACGTGTTATATGGGTTTAGGGTTCACTAATCCTTCAATAGTGTTTAGATTTCAGGGTTTAGGGTTTAAATTTAAGGTTTAGGATTTTGATTTTATGGTTTTAAGTTCCTTTACTTATTGAGAAAGTATACTTTTGAAAATTAACACCATAGGAATGTAGTTTTGAAAAGTATACACACTAATATATGGTGTACACAAAATAGTATACACACTAGTATATAAAGTACACACCAATATATATCGTACCAGTATATGATATTTATTTCTTAGTTATCTTTAACAGAAGCATATATATATATATCATTTCATCAAATAATAGTGTATTTATATATTATTATACGGTATACGTATTATTACTAAATACTAAATCCTAGTCAAATATTGATCCATGGAAAAGTCATAAAATACATTAGTAAACAAATATTATTAAATGAAACATTTGTTTGATGTAATTTAAAATACAGTAAAATTGAGTATTGAAAATCAATTACAGTAGAAACTATTACTAATATAGCTAATTGCTACTTTTTCAATCAATTAAATTATTAAATGAATAAGAGATAATTAAAGAGATGAAAATTTCAACAAAAAATATCTCATATAAGAATTTAAGAAAGAGTAAAGGGAAAAAGGAGACAAAATTTTGTTAAAAGAAAATGTATAATGACATTAGAAAAATAAATGTTATTGAATAGAACATTTGTTTGATGTAATTTAAAATACAGTAAAAATGAGTATTTTTTAATTATAGTAGACACAATTACTGTAATGAATAAGAGATAAATGTATAAAAAATAATTAAAGAAGTTAGAATTTGAACTAAAACAATTACTATAATGAATAAGAGATAAATAGAGTATCTCACAAAATAATTTAGGAAAGAGAAAAGGAAAAAAAAAGAAGATAAATTTTTGTTTTAGAAAAAGGTATAATGGCATAATCGTGATTTATATTTTGCAATTTCGAATTATTTTATTTAAATAAATCAAGTGGCATTTTCCGTAAATAAGTCAAAATTTGAAGGACTATTATCAAGGCCCAAACAATGATACACCTCTTTTGCAATTTAAAACTTATATTCACCCAAAACTTCATTACAAACATAAAACCCACCTTGCCACCAAGTTTCCCTTTCTTTATTCGTTGTCATCATCTTATTTTGTTCTACTTCTTCTTCATCTTCCAATTTTTGTTCTTCGATCGTTTCTTGTATCTTCATATCCTCAAACTCACTATTCTTTTTTTTTTTTAATTTTTTTTTTACATTCTATTTCCGATTTTTCTTCTTCCTCATCTTCGTCTTCTCTTATATCATCTTATTATACTTTTTATTTATCTCTTCTTTATTTTTTTATGCTTCAGATTCCATTTTTTCTTCTTTGATTTCTTTTACCTCGTGTTCAAGTTTTCTTCTTCCTCTCGAAGTTTCCCATCTTCGTTTCGATTGTTTTCTTTTGGGTTGTGTACAAAAAAAACCTGAACTAAATTAAATTTGCAAGATAAACCCCAACCTCAAATAAATGCAAGTCAAACCCACAACCTTAAAAGTCACCCGCAAAACAGCCCTTCCCTGTATCGATGACGTGGCTCCGGTGAAAATATCATCGGAACTTAAAACTCTGCGTTTTGAAAAAAAAAGAAAATCGCATCGTTTTTAATTTTTGTCGCATGAAGAGATTTTATTGGAGAAATCCAAACTAAATCAAAACAAAAAAACAGAGATCTGCTCGGTAATTGTAAAAACAGGGGAAGAACAAGAACATAGTTGTTGTAGTAGTTGTTGTAGTTATACCATTAAAAACCAAATCTTACAAAGAAGAACATAACAAGCTTACAAACGAACTTGCAATCGATAACATAGAGGCTCAGAAACATTAAACATAAATTAGTCTTACAAATGTGAACATTAAGACTTCGATTAGAAGCGCATTACCATTATTCCTCTAATGAAGACAGCAAATGCAACTGATGAAGTAACAAGAACATTACGCAGAACGTTACTCCTCTCGGTTAGGATCAGAACTTCTCTCTTCAAACCTTCGCATTCTTCACTTAAAGCCTTAAATTTCTCCATTATTCCAGCCTGTGAATCACCAGATTCACGGTTAAGAGCACAAGTAAGTGTACGTACTTGATTGTTCAAAGCGCCAATCTTCTCTTTCTGCTCATCGATGATACTCTTTGCCTCCAATAGAGCCTCTTTCTGCCATCCATGTGGCTCCTCTTTATCATGCCAACAGACGAATCCGCAATTAACAAACCCATTATAGTGTTCAACGAAAATCCATCTGCTACGTATTTATGACCACTGTATGATTCACCACCAAGATAAGTATCTTTTGCTGACCAGTACCCTCCCGCAAACATATATAAATCGAAGCTAAAACAAAGATACAGGAAAAAAAAATCAGTTTCAACATGAAAAAACGAAATAGCAATACAGAGAAACCCTATTCCAATGTCAACATGAAACATCGACTTAGCTTCATGACAAAACCTATCTGATACTTGCTTCACGACATAAGAAATTCTCTTTCACCTCCCAAAAATCACAGAGACAAATATCAAGTAAATATCCAATTTGCTTAATCGAGAAAGAAAAAGGCTGGAGAGACAAATCTTATGGTTCAAATAAACCCTAACACATAAACTCTACCACCTAACCAATGAACTACGAATCTAAATTCAAATCAAAATCGAGAGAGATGACATTTCCATGGAAATCAAAGATAGAGGAAGAAGAAGAGAATTGCCAAAGTTACCTCATCTTTAGCTCCGAAAACTACTCCCTTTGATCTCTGTTCACGAACCGATGAACCCTCAACACATCTACTCACTCAAATCGATTTCGCCCAGATTGATTTCAAGTATGATAAACCCTAATTTCTGCTTGGCCAGCCCCGATTTTGTTTTTCAAGTGTATACACGTTTTGTAAAATTGTCGTTTTGTCTTGGAAATTTAATTTAGTTCAAGTTTTTTTTGAACAAAACCCTTTTCATTTCTCTAACACATGTTTTTTTTTCTTACCTATCTTTATTATATTATTAATTGAGAAGTACATTCTAATGTTTGGATATAAGAATTAGAGAAACATCTATTTGGATAGAAAATAAATGGAAACAAAAGTTGTTTGGATATAAGAATAAGAGAAAAATCTATTTGGATAGAAGAATAAATGGAAAAAATTGTTTGGATACAAGAATAATAACTTAAAATAAACCGATGGTTTAGAAAACTTCCGTTTTCTATCTCTTAAAAATCTGCAAAAAAAAAACTTAACATAATCTAACGATAATTCCAAATCAATAGAATATGCTTTTTGGATTTTCGGGTTTTTATAGACAAGTTCGGGTTTGGGTGAAAATCTGAGACATAATTTTATAGAAATATAGAAATGTTCGGGTTTCTTTGAAAATTTCTGTTCGGGTTAGGTTCAATTTTTTTTTTCAGTTTAGGGTTTTCCGGATTTTTTAGATTTCTGGTTTTCGGGTTTAGATATATTAAAAAATTGAGTATTTTAAAATTTTGATTAGGTATTGGGGTCGGGTTCCGGGTGAAAAAGTTTCCAGATTTTTTTTGTTCAGTCAGGGTTTTCGGGATTTTTTTGATTTCGGATTTTCATGTTTAGACCTATTAAAAAAGTTTGGGTTTTTAAATTTTTTGATTAGGGTTTTTTGTCGGGTTCGGATTTAGGGTTTAAATTTTCTACACAAAACAACAACGTCACACCGCACAAACGTGCGGGTACTCTACTAGTGTTTTGTATTTCACGTATCAATTCATTTGATTGTCTAGATTTTGTTAATTAACAAATTCAATTAATATTAGAATAACACATTTTCTTTTTAATTACTTTTCATATTTTTGTAATGTTTTTTATTTTCCAAGGAAGTTATAGCTTAACATTTTGTTAATTTGATATGAACTTAAAAATTGTGAAAGCAAAAAAAAAATAGTTAAATTTTGTAATTTTTTCCACTCATCCCATCATTTATTTGTTCTTCAATTTTTTTATTCGTTGTCATCATCTTTTGTTTTTTGCTTCTTCTTTTTACAATTTTTGTTCTACAACCATTTCTTGTGTCTTTATATTCTCCAACTTACTATTATTATTATTATTTTATAATTTCCTTTACATTTTTTTTCCGTTTTTTCATTTTCCTCATTCTCCATTTTCTCTATCTTTATTATCTCCGTCTTCTCTAATATCATCTTATTTTATTTATCTCTTATTTGTCTTCTTTCCCTTCACATTTTATTTTTTCTTCTTTGTTTTCTTTTTTCTCTTCGAGTTTTCTTCTTCTTCTCGAACTTTCGCATCTTTTTATCCACCATCTTCTTTTATTCCACTCGTGTTTTATTCCTTCTTGTCTATTTCTTATATTTCACTTATCAATTCTTTCGATCGTTTAGATTTCAAGGTTTTGTGAAATAGTTTTTATCTTTATATAGACGAGATCTTTTGTAACATCCCGGTTTGTTATAAATGAGGAGAGACTTAAGAGAATTGATTTGGCTACCTATGTCAACAAAGTGCACTTACCTTTTCGGTCAAAGGTCAATAAGTAACTCCAGTTAATCGTGCTTGTGCTGGAGTAGTTGAAGGATGGGTGACCTTTCGGGAAGTGGTTTCCGAAACCGTGTGAGTGAGGCCAAAACACGGGGAAAGGTCAGGTGTTGATTGCAGGGATAGTAAACAAATCATTAGAGCCTCTCGAAAATAACGGACCGGCTGTCGGACAGGGGTGAGGCCCACGGGCCGAGATAGGCCTGCGGGCCTAGAGAGAGGTCGTGGGTGACTCACCGAAAGGGGAGGTCGGGGCGTTATATCTTTTAAAAGTCTATTTAATTTGTGTAGTCTAGTGTTGTTATCTTTTGATTATGGATTTGCATTAATTGTTTTAGTTTTTTTTTTCTATTTGTGAGTGTATTTTAGAATTGTAGATATAAAGTTATAATCAGTGATTTTTAATTTTGATATACTTCTACTATAATTCAAAATTTTAAAAATACACCATAAACTAAACCCTACACCCATCAATATAAACCCTAAACCCGAACCCAACATTATAAACCCCTCCTCCCCTTTATTAAAGAACCTACACCCTAAACCTAAATCCACATTATAACTCCTCCATAAACCGCACACTTGAACCTCACATTACAAATTAGTTCTGGATTTCCTTTTACTTTTATTTTATTTAATTTATTTAGTTATTTTTGTTTTTAATGGTTGTTTCCTCCTCCTTTTTTTCTTCTCTAGTGATCCTTTCTTTTTCTTTTCTTCCATTCGTTGTCATCATCTCTTTTTTTCTTGCTTCTTCTTCTTCTTCCGATTTTTGTTCTTCAATCGTTTCTTGTGTCTTCATATCCTCCAACTCACTATTTTTTTTTTCTAATTTTCTTTACATTCTATTTCCGGTTTTTCTGCTTCCTCATTCCCCCTCTCTCTCTCTATCTTTATCATCGGCTTCTCTAACATCATGTTATTATAAATTTTATTTATCTCTTCCTCGTTTTTTTCTTCTTCACATTCCATTTTTTCTTCTTTGATTTCTTTTTCCTCGTGTTCAAGTTTTCTTCTTCCTCTCGAAGTTTCCCATCTTCTTTTCCATCGTCTTCTTTTCTCGTACTCATATTTTCGTTCTTAGCTACGTCGTTTTATATTTAACTTATCAATTCATTCGATAATCTGGATTTTCAAGGATTCATGAAATAATTTTTATCTTTATATAGTCAATACTATTTTGTTGTTATCTTTTGATTCTGGATTTCCATTAATTGTTTTTTTTTTATTTGTGAATATAATTTAGAATGAAAGATATAAATTTTTTATTTTTATATACTTCCATAATAATTCAAAAATTTAAAATGCACCAAAAACTAAACCATACACCCATCAATATAAACCCTACACCTTAAACCCAAACCCCACATTATAACCCCAAAAGAAACTGATTCAATTTTTTTTTTAAAATGCCTTAAAAATTAAACCTTACACCCATCAATATAAACCGTACATAATAAACCCTAACCTCATTTTATCTTCTTATTACTTTTACTTTGTCTTCTAATTCTTTCAATTTTTTTCCGTTATTCTTATCCAACTTTATAATCTCTTTTTCTTGTTCTCTTCCTTCATCGTCTTCTTTTTATTTCCTGGTTTTATTTGCTTTTTTCATTTTATTTACAGTTTCTTTTTCTTAATGTTGAGTTTTCTTTTTCTTCTCCAAATTTCTCATCATCTTTTTCAGCGTCTTTTTTTCTTTTACTCGTGTTTTCTATACGTTCTTGTCTACTTGCATTCCACCTATCAATTTATTCAATAGTTTAGATTTTTGAAATAGTTTTTATCTTTATATAGATCTCACAAAAATCTATTAGTGTTGTTATCTTTCGATTCTAGATTTGCTTTAATTGTTTCACTTTTTTTTCTATTTGTAAGTGTATTTTAAAAAGATAGATATAAATTTATAATCAATGTTAGATTGTGTGTTAGATCGATAAGGAAAAAATGAATAATATATATTTTTAATGGTTGTAAATGAATTTTATGCAACTTATTCTCATCTTCTTATACTTCATATTCTTAAGTTTGTTTTTCTTTCTTTATGCATCTTCTCATTCTTAAACCACATTATAACCCTTCTCCCTAAATCTACATTACAAACTTGTTTTTTTTTAATAAAGTTGTTGTTTTTTGTTGGACGTAATAATAATTAACACAAAAAGATTAACATATTTTTTAAACAAACGTTACCAACCTTACTTGAAGCCATATAATTGAGATCTCGTATAGGATCATATGATCAAAGCTAATGAACATTGACATTAACATTGAATATTTATTCTAAAAAGGATAAACCATAAGAAATATTTTATTGGTTCTACGAAAGAACGTAACTAATAACCAACAAAATTAACATATATTATAATAAATAAAAGTGATATCAGTGCTTGAAAACTAACAACTTACATCATCCTCACCAGTCACGGCCCGACCCAGTATGGCGCCTAAAGCAAAAAAATAAAATAGCCCATGTAAAACACTGTAAAAACAAAATAAGCGATTTTGGCATTCCCAGGGTTTGAACTCGTGACCTTTCTACATCGAAGCAACAACACAACCATAACGCTACCAAAGACTTTTGCTATTTGGCGCCCTAAACACCTTAATATATGTTGGCGCCTAGAGCATGATACTTTACATGCTTTAGGTCAGGGCTGGCTCTGGTAATCGTCATCTTTTTTTTTTTAACTTCCGCTTCCACTTACTTCTGCTAATATTAAAAGCATCATGTAACTTAGAGCACAAAACATTAAAAGTCATCCCAAACAATCTACTCTTGTACTTCCGAAATAGACAGGGAGACGGGCAACAGCCTTTCTGTCGGCAAGGTTGCAGGTGCAGGGGCAGCTTGCATTTTGACCATGCCACAAACATTCTTAATAGCTTCTGTTTCTGCATTGCTCTTAGACCAAGTGAACACTGAGAAGCCAAAACCATTTTCTTTTACCTTCTATATCGGTCATAAGCATGACTCCTTTGTCTACCATAATCTGGACTCCCACGTTGTTGGTGATTAAGGTGATGGAGCATTGTTCATAAGATGTTGGACTCCTGTAATTAATCAGGACGGCTATGGAACACAGGGCTAAGAGATCTCCCTGGACTACCACCATCGTATCGATTGTCTCTTTCATCATCCTTTAACACATACTCAGTGGAAACAACCATGTCCAATATTTTGCTGCCGACAAAAAAGGGATTATCAATTGTGGTAAATGTTTGAGAAAAACTTATCTGTTTTTTTTTTTACCTTGTGTTGAGGGCTTTGGTAGGTAGAATTTTCTTGTGTTGGGAATTGAACAAAGAGAAATCTCGTCTGATAAGGTTGATGAATGATGATGACCTTACCGTAGGGGGTCGGTTTCTCTAAGCATCATGCAATAAACTCGGTTTCCAAGATGCTTCATCTCGAGGCCAGCTTCTCTGCAACCATGAAATAATAAAGACTAATCACCTCCAACTCATTATATAATAACACAGACCGAAGCACATCCGTGTCTGCTCGTAATGGTGAAAAGATTAATGTGAAATAAAAGGAAAGGAAGGAGTTAAGGGATATGATACTGACCATTTAGTTTGCACTCTGTTAGAGTAATAACATTAGTGTATATTCCCTCCGTTTCAAATTCGTTGTCGTTTTGGCAAATGTATCTTCAAATATTTGGACGTATCTGGACGTGTTTTGCATTGCAGATACGTCCAAATATTTGCAGATACATTTTGCCAAAACGACAACTAATTTGAAACGGAGGGAGTATTAGTTTGTAGGTTTTGAATCGTAACAGTCGCTTGAAAATTTCAGCGGCTCTCCCTCCTCCTGCAACACCTTTTTCTCTCTCCTGTGACACCTCCTTCACCATCATTTAAGCCTTGTTGTTGTTGTTTTGCTTTATCGTTGGTCATCGTCACGGTCGTTTTGTTCTGTCACCGGCCAGCCCACATCACTGCTTTACAACTTCCTATCTTATCGAGCATTGAACGAATTCACTCTTATGACATCGGCAATACAAATCTAAATGATATGTCTCTCCTTAATCAGTTCATTGAGCACCACCTGCTAAGAACTTGGTATTATAATAAACACAAAACTGTCAAACACAACCCAAGAAAAATTTCCACGCCAATATTATACAATTGAGAGATCCAACAATTATCAACACTCAGGATTCAGGAAAGGCTTGAGTCTAGTAAACCCAATAAGCATTGTCTAAGCACAGTGTCACGTAAAACTATTAGCACAACATACCAAACTATTAATAGGAAGATTAAGATATACCAGAATATATACCTTTATGCATACCTTCGTTTTCTTACGACCTGGTATGCGCCCACCATCACAGCGTCGTTGATGTAGAAGATCACGATCTGCCGTTTGTGTTCTCAAATCAAGGGGAAAGTGATAAATTTAAGGAGGAAGAGAAAACAAACGATCACGATCTATCATTATTCCTTTGTTGACCAATTAGATAACAATCGACATGTTCTTTCAAATAAACATCTACAGTAGTTTGCTAGATTATGGCTCCGATGGAGCTTGGTGGCGAAAAAGAAAAAAAGACGTGGTTGATTTTGTATACCATGGTTGCATTGAAGTATAATAGATCACAATTCCCTAAAAAACAGAGTAGGTCGGTTTGGTCTATAAGGAATGATGCTAAAAGCGGAATTCAGTTTGCAAGTTTGTTTAGTATTTTATAATTATGTTGGTAGACGAAGAGTAAGTTGCAATTGGATTTTAGCCACAAAGGAATGATCTGAAGTTACATTTGTTGTTCTAACAGTTGTAAAGGGAACCCAAAGGTTGTAGAATACTTCATAAAGTTTGGGAAAAACCTCGGACAATAAGATATTAGTAATCTTTTCAATCACAGGCGTAGATGAAACTTAGTAAACCAAAAAAAGCTACTAAGGATATTTAGTTTGAAGAAATGAAAGAGCAAAGTACATGTCTTATTACCTTCCTGAATATGTGAAGTCAAGTGATGCAGAGTCTAACGTAGTTGAGCATAGTCGGTATCCGATGGCATTAGATGGATCTAATTTCACCTGTACAATAACAGAAGATAAAGAGAATCAAATCAAGCATAAAAACTTCAATTTTTCTCTTGATAACCATAGAAAATCAAGCCCCTAAATCCTATGGAGAAGAACACATAAAACAAAAATCGAAAATCAATCAAATATCATTGTCGGTGTGTAACACTAACCTTATTTGATAGAAATCCATGGCATAAGACCACAATTTTCCTCAATCAACATTGTTCCAGCTGATTCCGTAAAACACATAACAAAACGATAGGATCAGAAGAGCAATAACGATGACAATTCAATTTGTAATCATGATTTTCTAAAAACCAACCCTTTTCGAGAAGAAATCGAGCGAAATGAGCAAATGATGACCTGAACATGAAGAGCAGACCTCTTGTTAGGAGAGAATGTGCGATTGAGGCAGAGAACATGAGTGCCTTCCTGGTCAACGGGGAAGCAAACGCCGACGCCGAGAGGCCAGCCGTCGTGGGTCAAAGTGGAGAGAGTTCCGACGGAGGAGAGCTCCATTATGCTCCTTGAAACCTCCGTCGGAAAGGGCTTGTGACTCGAAGCGGAGAAATGGTGATTGGTCGCCGTCAACGTGTTTGCATGCATGGAAACGGAACATCTGAAGGAAATTGGACGAGAAGGCTAAAGAGAGCTCACGAAAACGACGTTGTTTTGGTCTCACTCGAGGAAAGATAAAAAAAACCGGCTGATGTGGCACTCTTTTGGGGTGCTACGTATCTGCAACTGGAGAGTATCACAAGCCTTTTCAGTTATGTAGATTAGAGATATCTTGGTGAGCAAGGCGAACTAAGTATTGTGGGCCATTGAAGCCCGTTTATGAAGTGAAGTCCGTGAAGCCAAACGGAAGAATATTCTAGAGAAATCCTATTGTGATAGAGATAAGGAAGATTTACATTATTTGGTGTTATCATTATGTTAATGTTAACCCTCTATATATGGGTCTTATTCTTGTATCAAGAACACAACTTAATAATATATTCCTTTCTGTAATATTTGTCATGGTATTAGAGCAAACGATCTTCGTGGATCTAAATTAAAGCTTCCGCATTAGTTTAGGTTAGTGAAGATGGTGATCCTTAGCGGCGTTGAAGACGTTGAGGAAAGTGACGATGATGATGACGTGAAGGGTGGACTTCCAACGTAGAGTTTTAATTGAAAACTCTAGGTTTTGGTTTTTATTATTAACTAATGATTAGTTTCTATTTTATAGCTTTAGAGCTTTGATTTTCTTTAAAATTAAGTGGGGGTTTTTCCTCTTTTTTTATATTGATTGATTATAAAAGGTTTACGAGAGTTAGTTGTTGGAAGATTGTTTTGGTTAATGGTTATGGCTTTCACGTGGTTATTAATTATTGTTTTGAGATTGATTCTTAAGTTTAGAATTTCTCAAAAAAAATTTAGTTTCTCCTATTACGGGGAGTTTGGTTATGAGTTTAGAGATTTTTATCGGAGTGTTCATGTTTTTAGGTCATATTTTCTTAGTCCAATTTATGGGCTGTCCGCGACAAGGACGATTATTTGTGAAGTTGCAGAGTTTGCGTTCACGGGATGTTGTTATTCCCTTTCTTTCAAGACCAAAGACGAGCATGTTCCATCCCTATTGACTTATATTTCCATCCTCGACATGATTGTCCACGACATAGGTGTTCCGCATTGTGACTGCAGATTTTGCATTTCGCGTCCACCTTTGTCATGCGGGGGCGTATTGGAGATATCTTGGTGATCAAGGCGAACCAAGTATTATGGGCCATTAAAGCCCGTTTATGAAGTGAAGCCCGTGAAACCAAACCGAAGAATATTTTAGAGAAATCCTATTGTTATAGGGATAAGGAAGATCTACATTATTTGGTGTTATCATTATGTTAATATTAACCATATATATGGGTCTTATTCTTGTATCAAGAACACAACTCAATAATATATTCCCTTCTATAATATTTGTGAAGGGATTAACCTTTTTAATACTCACTCCATTTTAAATTATTTGTCATTCTAGCAAAATGTAACTATAATTTTTTGGATGTATCATATTAGTATTTGCAAATCAATTTTCGTGAATGGAGCCACCACGTTAACTCTCAGCCGCGGAATTACCGAGATGCCCTTAATGAAAATCTTTCAATTAAATCTTCGAATTTTTCCTTTTTTATTAAAAACGAATTTGATTATTGACTTTTAATATTTTTAGATAAATATGTTAACTACCATATCCCCGCCTTATTTTTGGAAGATATTATAAATTTTAGGAAGATAAATAATAAGTAAACCCTAAGATTCTTAACTGACCTGTATTATATAAATAGATACGATCTTGGAAAAACAACACAATTTTCATTACGATTTGCAATTTGTCTTTCAATACGTAATTTTAGTTCTTAGATCTCATATTTCTTCTTCACATGTACCTTAATTGTTTTAGTTCGATCTTAGTTCTAATAAAACTATTTATGAACTGATTATTTGTTATTTTCTGTCAATATCATCTATTGATCCGCTTCTAACTACTTCCTCTCTCACTTTTGTAACAGAAAATTCATTATTTGTAAGCTGATGGAATAGAAGTTCATATATGGTCCCAAGCCAGAAGTATTCTTCCCCAAAAATAGAGGGTATGAACATCTTTTCTTTTATATATCAACTTAATATTCATGAAACCCTAATTCTAATGATGAGAGTATAACGTTTTCTGTTTTTTTTTTTTTTAATTTTAGTTTCTTCAATGAAGCTGGAGGAATGGAATTGGCGGAGCCTGGAAAGAAGAATGATTTCGGGAGCATATTAGCAGGTACAAAGATTTGGTTGAATCTTGAGATCATGAGAGGCCGTACCACATGATGTGCATGTGGCTTTGGATTGATTGTCTTTGCAGATCCTTATGTTGTTGTAGAGAGAATGATCATGAAGAAACAAATCATTGATGGCCGATCGGTTAATATTCTAAAACTCATCAAAAATCCTTCATCAATCTCTGTAACATATGATGTAACCTTTTGTTTTTTTTTCTTACTTGCGCAGTAAGCTTTCTTTAGTAGGACAAGACGATTTTTGAGTTCCTGTTTCGTCTACTAAAGGAGAGAGAACCTTATTCTGAATTCTTCTTACTTTTGGAGAGTCGAGTCAATTAAAGAAAAGAGAAACACTACGAAGAGGTAATGATTCAATGAGAAGATATTTCCTGATGCTAACATGTGGCCAAATTACGATGAAATTGAGGATGAAGAAGATGACAAAGAAGAAATACAATATTTATTCACAGTCTCCTCGACTCTCTTCTTTTATTTTATCAGTTTCATCTTTCTTCATGTAAGAAGAAATACAAGAAGAAAGATGAAACTAATAAAATAAGATGTTGCAAAAATGAAAAGGATTGATAACACAAAATGATAAAGAGTACAAAATGAAATAAGAAGAAAAGACTGAATAAAAACAAGGAAAAGATGAAAGTTGGAAGACAAAGACGGAAAAAACAAAAGAAACAGAACAAAAGAAGAAAATATTTGAAGAATATGTGAACAATAAAGAAGTTGAAAAAAAATCAAAAGATAAAAAAAACGAAGAATAAGAACACAAAGACAGTTGAAAAACAAATTGTAAATAAAAGGAAGAAAACTGATAAAAAGCAGGAAATAATAAGATGACGATGAAGAGAAAATTAAAAGAGAATAGAAAGTTTGATAAGAATAAGAAAAAAAATAGTAGAAAATGAAGAAAAAATATGAAGTAAAAGACAAATTAAAATAAAAAGATAAAATAGGGTTGAGGTTTATGATGTACGGTTTATACTGATGGGCGTAAAATTTAGTTGTTGATGCATTTAAAAAAATTTGAATACACTAAATTACCGATATAAAAAACTTATGTTAAAAATAAAATAAAAGTAAATATAGAACCAATTTCTAAAATGTGGGTTCGGGTGTACAGATTGGCGGGAGGGGGGGGGGGCGGAGGGTGTTACACTATGGTGTTTGGGTTGTTTAGGGGGTGGTGTTACACTGTAGGGTTTAGGATGTAGGATTTATATTGATGGGTGTAGGGTTTAGTTTTTGGTGCATTTTAAAAACTTAAATTATTATAGAAGAATTTCATTATAGAAAATCATTTATTATAAAAAGTTATACTATTTATCTTATTAAAACTTTTAATTAATTAATGTATTTTAAAAATATTGTACCCGCACAAGGTGCGGGACAACCACTTTGTCTGGATGTATTTTGAGTTTAATACATCAAAAAAATTACATATACATTTTGCCAGAATGACAACTAATTTAAAACGGAGGGAGTAATATATATTTAGTCTGAAAGAAAGTTTATCGTAAAGCAACAAATCGAAAAATTTAAATGATCAAATCCAATTAGGAATTCCAGAATACACATATATCGATACCAAAATTTAGATTGATGCATGCATACTGTAATTACTCTATTTTCACACACACAAAAAACGAAAACAAGAATGCAAATTAAACATTTAATTTCAAATCAATAATCCAACACTTGTTAGACAAATTTGTTAACCAGATTTTTTTCTGCGTATTGAAGCATAGCAAATGGAAAAGAACAAAAAAAAAAACATAAAATTCATCTTCAACGCACGCTTTTTAATTCGTTTTGAAGCATTGGCAAAAGAAGTGTAAAATCTTATTAACCGAAAAACTCTGCATCAGTTTTTGTTTCACCTAAAATGCATTGTTTCCTTTCCAAAAGACATTACTGTACATTGTTTCACTTTTAAAAAATTGGATGGTATTGTGAAGTGTAAAATTCCGCGTTCAAAAAAAATTAAAAAAAATACATACGTATGGATTGGAGTTGTGTTTATATTAATTACTTTCTGTAGCATTCAGTTTGGCAATTTATTCAAAGTTTTCTGTATTCAAATGACAAATGTGTTCATTGCAAGTAAAGAATCTAGCAAAAGATCGTGGACTAGAGAGAGACACCTAGGACAACAAACGATAAATCCAAAATCTCAGAAACCAATCAGTAAACAGATACATATCCTTCGTAGATAACAAACCTTACTCTGCAAATTTCTATAAAACGGAGCTATACCCCATCCATTTTCAATCACTCTCACCAGTCACCCAAAAAAAAAACATAAAAAAGAAAAAAGAAGAAGAAAAATTCTAATGGCTGCATCAACCATGGCTCTGTCCTCCTCTGCCTTCGCTGGAAAGGCCGTGAAGCTCTCACCGGAAGCCTCCGAAGTCTTTGGAACAGGCCGTGTCACTATGCGCAAAACCGCCAAACCCACCGGTCCATCTGGCAGCCCATGGTACGGATCCGACAGAGTTAAGTACTTGGGTCCATTCTCCGGCGAGCCCCCGAGCTACCTCACCGGAGAGTTCCCCGGAGACTACGGATGGGACACCGCCGGTCTATCCGCCGACCCAGAGACCTTTGCCAGGAACCGTGAGCTAGAAGTTATCCACTCCAGATGGGCCATGCTTGGAGCCCTAGGATGCGTTTTCCCTGAGCTATTGGCTAAGAACGGCGTCAAGTTCGGAGAAGCGGTCTGGTTCAAGGCCGGTTCACAGATCTTCAGCGAAGGAGGGCTCGACTACTTGGGCAACCCAAGTTTGGTCCACGCTCAAAGCATCTTAGCCATTTGGGCTACTCAGGTGATCCTCATGGGAGCTGTCGAGGGTTACAGAGTCGCCGGAAATGGCCCCTTGGGAGAAGCAGAGGACTTGCTTTACCCAGGAGGCAGCTTCGACCCATTGGGCCTCGCTACTGATCCAGAGGCTTTCGCGGAATTGAAGGTGAAGGAGCTTAAGAACGGAAGGTTGGCTATGTTCTCTATGTTTGGATTCTTTGTTCAAGCCATCGTCACCGGTAAGGGACCAATTGAGAATCTTTCTGACCATTTGGCTGATCCAGTCAACAACAACGCATGGGCCTTCGCCACCAACTTTGTCCCCGGAAAGTGAGCGAGTTAAAGCTTATTATGTGAGTGAGAGCAGAGAAAAAAAGTTTGTTTTGGATCTTTCTATGTAAATTTGTGAAATTTCCTATGTCGTATCTTTGTATGATTCATCAGAAATCGAAGCTCTTTTTCTCTCAATTGTTTGGCGTTTTATCTGAACACTCAAAACTTAGTTGAATAATCCATTCTTGTAAAAACTCACGTATAACTGTATTTGGACAATTTACCAATCCGGACGAACCCAACAAAAAGGCAAAAGAAACTATATATTAGAAACTTGTGGCAAAATTACAACAGAGAAGAGGAAAACGAACAAAAAGTAACCCTAAGATGATATGCCGTCCAAATGCCACAAGTGGTGTGCACTTGAAGCCATTTTCTGAAAATTTCTCTGCTTCATTTGGCAAGCTAAGATGATTACTGATATTTGAAAACAAATGTTTATTGCCGATATGAGACGTGTGTTGTAACTATTTAGCAAGTTTGACATAGAAACCTCTGTGAGATTCACGTTTTCCAAATCTTTATAGTCCCTCCTGCAAAAGTAAATTTGGTTCTACCATGTTAACGGAGTTTTTATCTCTTCCTCCTAAGCGAGTATTCCAATAGCAACAATTGCTTAAATGGACCAGGAGAAGTTAAAAAAAAGGCTTACATGGTTAGTGTGGGATCTGGAGAAGAATGAGAGCGGTTAAATATAAACAGAAAGAGATGGCAGCTCCAGCGAGGACATTGTGGAGCAGTCTCTTGTCATCTTTTGTGGGTATGAAAACAGACTTTAACGTATTGGTAAGCTCGAAAAGCCGGTGAGACACCAAGACATAAATGGCCGTGGTGAGCATGAAGTTGAGCATCGGGTATTCTGGAATGAAGGATAATAGCCACTTAGGCTGTCCATTAGGCACATCCGATCTGCAGCACATGCGATTTTTAGCTATATTTCATCAGTAAATGGTTAAAATGTTCTGTTGCCTACTTAATTGGGAGAAAAGAAACAGTTTTATCTTCTCCTACCTTAACCAGATGTGAAACTGGGAAATATAGGTCTCCAGAGTAATCTTTCCAAGCCACCTATAGGAAGGCAATGGCAGTTGAGTCTTATTAGAGATGTGTTCAGAATAAACACAAATCTTGGTTGAGATGAATTAAGAGTAAGAAACATACGCAAATAGTGTCATGGAGAAATTTCGAAGCTGTTGTGTGGAGTTTCGCAGACAGATGTAGACACTGAGACAACAGAATCAAAGCTGAAGTCAGAATCCAATAATGCAAGACTATCTCAAGCTTTCACGTGAAAGTTTAAGGTTTTTGATACTAACGTTATTGGAATCCATGATGTGTAGGGATGATATTTGTTGTATGTAACCTTGTCAAGCTTGTATATGTATTCGTACCATAGGTAACCAACCTGAACAATATTAGGAACACAACTTGACCATCAGAATAATATCTACATATGATCCATAAACCAGAGAGAAAGAAAACTCACAAATGATGAAATGGCAATTATGCTTGTCTTGATTGAGTTCTTTCTCTTGGCATCACACTCTTCTAATTTCTCCATCCATCTCTCCACCTGAGGTCAACATGTCGAAAAAGATTTTAACTGTGGTTCAACATGACAAGTTATGAATAAACGAGAGCACCATAGGTTCAAGAGTTACAGTGGGATGGAAATAGGCATATATCATTCCAATAATCCATATGTAGCGGTCAAGTCCTGATCTGAAGTGCCATTCGTGAAGAAGCGGTAGATCTGGTTTAGCTGGATCAGTGTATCCTTCAGTTGTTTAAAGAAAAATAACTAAATGTTAGTCAACATGCATAACCACAGATCCTAATTCTCAGGAGTCATCCGAAGTTTAAGCACAAGACAGACATGCAGTCAACTGAACAGAAATCAGAAAAATATTATGAGAAAAGTCTGATACTGACCCAGTAAGAATGTTAACGGACTCCAGAAAATCTCAAAAACTCCAGGAATCTCCCACATCAGAATGACCACAAGAAAGCATGAAGCAATCTTCACAGCCATTACTGATGGTATTTCATTATACCGATGGAAGATACCGAGGGCTCCATACACCATTAGAGTGAACAGAGTGTGCATCGGACAGATGTAGTATAGCATATAATCATTATTGAGAATAATGCAGGCAAAAGTCACAAATAAGTTAAGACGCCACATCATCTGGAAGAAGTAAGAGATTTCATGAGCATATTGAGTCATCGAAAGAAGCATATGCTTTATAGAAATGCATATATTATGTGAAACTAATTAACTATAAAAATTGAAACTGTCCATATGACCTGAGTGAATCGTGCTAGGGAGAAATCCTTTCTGATATAGTAATAAGAGAAGTTCCCGAAACCAGTCATCCAGACGTAGGCAGCGATGAAGACCCTGATTGCATTATATATCTCAGCCGCAGCAAAGTAATGATACATCAGGAACAGAACCTGCAAAGACACAAAAACAGTAAATTAGCATGAAAAAAATATCTAGCGGTGATATCAAGAACCTCGGATGTATTCTTTTTCTGCGAAGTAGAAGCGTAAGACAGGTAATGGACACCTGCTGAGATTAGAGTGAATCAGTTACCTGCATCCATCCCTTCCACTCTTCAGTCTGGTGACGATTAAGATAGAGAATGGATTTTCCGGTTACTGGTGATTTGTCGTTGTGTTTCTTCAAGGACGTCATAGCTGACACTATGATGAGCAGACAGTAGAGAAAGAGGAAAAGGTCTCGGTTGTAATTCTGCAAATGGAACGCATATATATAGCAAAAATGTAATCAATTTCAAAACCATTTTCAGACTTGGAAGTAGTTTTCTACCTAACTAAACTATATCACACATATTTAGCACATAAAATGTGTTTGATCTTTAATGACCGGTTGAAACTGACAAAGGTAAATCCGTCAAAGAAATTTAGAGTAGGCACCTTTTTAGACTCTCCAATCAAGCTTGTTCGATCACAAATATAAAAGTAGAAAAGAATAGCTCCGAACTCAGCCCTGAAAGGAAGTAAAATTGTCATGAGAGAGAATGGGTATCAGCATGAATCCACTCTTATAGTTAAGGAGCTTACATCGCTCTCAAGGTTGCTCGATTATCAATCAAGAAAGAGTCTTCCAGCGTCAGAAACCTACAAGCAGACAAACGTAAATTGTTTTTAAGAACGATTTTCATTGAGAGAAAAAACACTCAGAAGGAACTTGGCTATAACTACCTAATCAAGTTGGCTTTGATAGGCGAGTTATAGAACTTTGAAGAGATTGATCTTGGAAGACCTCCTTCCAGTAAAACTGCTACTTCCTCTTCCTTTGTTTTCACCTCACCCATTTCAACCAAATTATTATCTGAATGGCTGCAAGTAAGAGGTAGAGATATTGGCAACCAGTAAAAACAAAATGAAACAAAGCAAATAGAGAACTTTGAAGTGCAATGAAGACATACACTTTAGAGTGCAATGAAGACCTCTTATACTCTAGAAACTCTGAGTACATCCATGCTATGAAGACAGGGATGACTCCGAGCAGAAACGAAACCTGCATTGAAGAAAAAGAAGATATCAAGATAGATACAATACAGGGATTACGTTTCATCATCCACACCAAATCTCTAGTGAGCATCGCTTTAAGATTCAAAATTGAAAGAGAGTATGCTGCTTCGAGTTGGAGACAAGTGGACGAAATCAACTTGAAATCACATTGAACTGCAAAACTATTCATTCAAAATCTAGGAATCCGCGGGAGAAGTTGGCATGAATCATGAAATTAAGAAGACAATGAAGGGTTTGAAACACAAAATTCACGAGATTCCGTACCTGGCCAGGCGTAATTGGCTCCGAATCCGCCATTTTTACTGGATCCACGAAGAGATCTTCAGAGATTACAAGATCAGAAACTGGAAACCGAAAGGGTCGGAGGAGACAGCGAAAGTGATTTCCACTTCACAGCCGGATCTAAGGTATCGAATTCGGCCTCTAGAAAGGAAAAAAATAGACTAAGGCACAGGATCCGAAACCCTAGGAAGACAGCAGAACAGGGAAGGTGTGAAGAGAGAAGAGGACGAAGAAGAAGAAGTAGAAGAGATCTGAAGTGAAGAAGCTATCGCTTCAAGGATGGAGAAAATGGCGGGTGCGACGTCGTTCTCGTCAAGCTCACCCGAACGGGTTGTTGGTTAGGCGATGGCTCCGTTCGTTTTTCCTTTCCTTTACATTAAAGATGATACGAACAAACACAAATGATTAACGATAATAGCCGGAGAGTAATATTTTCGTTTGTTCGTAGATTAATTAACTCTTAATTTTTAGCGGTTAATTTTGGACATGTACAAATTAGTGGAAACATGTTTTTAAAACGTAAACAAATGGTTTACCATCTTTATCACTTTTGTTTCTCTAAAAGTAGATTTCATTATGGTTATATAATTCGAACTGAAAATTTTCAAAATGCTAAGTTTATTATTACGTATGACCTCAACCACCCATCGTCTCCACGTTATATTACTATATAAGCTTATCGGTTCATGCTTTCTTCAATCTTCAGATACCAATTTTGAAACTTGTCAGATTTTTCAGAATGTCTAGTTCTTCCTTGTTTTACAGATTAGCCATCATATGCAGGTTATATACATTCAACAAAACTTATATTACCACAAATCTGACTGGAATTGCACAATTCACAGCTGAAGGTCAAAAGAAAAAAGAAAATCAAACTTCACTTGGAACATCATACCTTTCCCTCTTCATCTCCTTTACCAACAAACCTAACAACGAACCGGAATCTTCCCTGTCACACTGTAAAAAATCGGTTCCGGCGTGAAATTCCATTATCTCACCGTTGATCTCAATCCAGCTACATCCCGGTGTCTTAACGACATCTCTGTCTCTCATCAACACCCTCATCTTCGCACATTCATCCCACATCTTCATATCAGCATACACCTTGGAAGAAATAACATAATTTCCTGCATTCTTCGCCTCCTCCATCTCCAGCAGCATCCTCGTAGCCTTCTCTCCAATCACCACATCTTTTCTCTTATGACACGCTCCAAGAATCGCTCCTATCATGATCTCGTCTGGCTTCCCTGGGAACCTCTCCATAAACTCCCAAGCTTCGTTTAACATCCCCGCACGAGACAGAAGATCGATTACGTTTGTGTAATGCTCCATCTTCGGGACTAACCCGAAAGAAGAACTCATCTCATTGAAATACCGACGGCCCTGATCCACCAAACCGGCGTGCACACAAGCAGAGAGCAATCCGACGAATGTAACATCACTTGGAGGAACTGACATTTGATCAAACAGCGAAAGAGCTTCTCTGGCCTGTCCATGATGAGCATAAGCGGATATCATAGCGTTCCAAGTTGCTTCGTTTTTCACCGGCATGGACTCAAATACTCTCACAGCGTCCTCCATGCTTCCGCACTTTCCATACATATCGACTAGTCCTGTGGCCACGTAGACGTTGTGTTGCAAGCCTGCTTCTGAAGCGTATGTCTCAATCCGTTTGCCTAGCTCAAGAGCTCCAACTGCACCACAAGCAGACAGTATTGTAGACAATGTCACCTCATCAGGTGAAACTCTGGTTTCTTCCATCTCATGAAACAGTTTAATAGCTTCACTCGACCTCCCATTTTGCGAGTATCTGACATTGAATCAGGAATTATAGTCCAGCTTTCTAAAAAATTCGGACTTTATATGAAACAAAAATTGGACTTACACAGTGATCATAGCATTCCAAGGAACACGGTCCTTGTTAATCATTTGATCGAAAACCCTTCTTGCCGAATCCAACTCGCCGCATTTTCCATACATAGTAATCAACTTAGGACCGAGAAACGTGCTTAGCCCGATCTTCTTCTTGATGGCTATCTCCTCCAGTAATCTACCACTTCTCAAATCCCCCAAATGCGAACAAGCACCCAACACACTAACCAGTGTCCTCTCATCTGGTTCGACTCCTTCCTCCTCCATTTTCCTAAACAAACCCAACGCGTCTTTTGCGTGACCCGCCTGAGAATACCCAGAGATCATCGAGTTCCAGGACACCATATCCTTCTCAGTAATTTCGTCGAACACTTTCCGGGCATTCTCGACCTGATCACATTTCGCATACATGGTTATCAAGGAATGATTCACATGATCGTCTCTTTCCAACCCGACTTTGAACAACGACGAATGAACAGATCTACCAACTCCAAGCTCCGAAAGATTCCCGCAGGCGATGAAAACAAAATTATATGTGAAGTTGTCAGGCTTTAACCCAGAAAACTTCATCCGGCGATACAAGGAGAGAGCTGCTCCGTGGTCATGCCACGTATTGGTCAATCCTCGGATCATAAAATTGAAAGAGTAGTGGTTTGGTTCTTCCGTCGCCGAGAAGAGAAAAGAGGCATAACTGAAGTCTCCAAGCTCGACGGCCTTGGGAATCAGGAAATTGGGTTTGTCGACGGAGTGAAACAACATCTGCGCCTGAATCTCTCGCAATTGGTTGACGGAGACGCATTTTTTCAGCCGGCAAAGAAAGTCCCTCGCGAGATCTCGTCGTGCTTCGTTGAATAAAGGAAATTGGCGGCAAATGGAGAACGCTAGTTTCTTTGGTTTGAGCATTTGCAAGTTAAGAGCCAAATGTGAAAATTGAGCTATACTCTCACTCTCTCCTCTCCAATAAATGGCTTTTTTTTCAGATTAAATAAAACATACATTTTATCATTAATTTCAACATATTTGTGGGTTTGGAAAACCACACTCAAAATTTATGTGTATTTTGTAGGGAGAAATTGCCTGTGGAATCAGAGGTTAGATTCTGATGTAAGTCGAATGATTCGTAGACAAATATTTGACGAAATCGGACTTAGGCTAATCGAATAAAGTGGTTACAAAACCGGCCTAAAAGACCATGTAAAACACTAGGATTCGACTAAGCAAAAGAGATGGAAATGAGGTGGTGGCTGCGCTCGTGTAACGAGCTGCCTACGTACCCTGTTTTAGGGATCAAGCCAGAACGTAGTTCGATTGTAAGTTGTTCTCTATTTCGAGTCGTTTTCTGAAGAGAAATGACCACGAAAAGAGCTAAAGGGGTGTGAAGATGACGATAAATCTCAGGTTATCGGAGTGATCCGAAGGTAAGAGATTACGTCGAACTTCTGCCGGAAGTGATTTCCGGCTAGAAAGATCAGGGCTTTCTGGGATTATCTCAAAGATCAAGGATAAGATCGTAGATAAAAGAGATAGAATGTATCTCAGCATAAAGAGTAGTTATCGAGAGGAAAACATTCAATCTCTTAGAGATGTAAAAAGGAACATTATGCCTTGTGATCAAGAATCGTCCTCTTTTTATAGCTCCGAAGTAGATCGCAACCTCCTCCGCGTATCTCGTCCACGTGCAACTACCGATCCCGCTATTTCCGGATCTGAACAGTCGAAGCGAGATTCTCGTTTGACTCGTTCAAACTCAGCTTGCGGACTCGACTCCGTCGAGCTAGAGCTCGACTTCGTCTTCACAAGTAGCTCGGACAGTAAACAGCTGGATTTTGGACAAGGATACTTGGTGGGCTCGAGGTCATTTTACTGGGCCTGAGTGGACTTATCTTGACCTTAGGACTTAGGTGATGGGCCTTATGGGCCGGATTTCTGGAGGGAAATCCAGGTCCAACAATAGCCCCCCAGCTCATTAAGTGAGTATAATCGAACTTAATGAGCGGTAGGTTGTTTTAAAAATTGTCCCGCAGTCCCGTCGAACTAAATCATGACTTTGAATAGTCATTAGAGATCGATGGTCGCAAACGGGAAGGCGAGAGATCTTTGAGATCTTGCCGTTGAATGATAGTTTCACCTTGAAAGACAAGGTAATAACTTATTCTTTAGATCGACAATCAAGATCGAAAATAGATCGAAGAGCTATTATGATCTTAAGAGTCGAGCTTTTCGAGAGTAGTGAAAACCTTAGGAGAAGATTTGCGATTATCAACTCTTTTAGATTGTTTCTCGAGAAGGCTTTTGGTTTAACTAACTCAAACATTGCGCGAGCTCTTTTTGAGTTAATCGATTATTTTTCGAGTTCGACCAATTGTTGATTAAATTCTTTAATCGAACTTGGTCGCTTTAAGTCGGACTGTTTTTCCGACTCGAACTCGAAAAAGGATACGACCAAATGAATTTTAGTCGGTTTATTTGACTGAATTCTCGCATAAGATTTTCGGCTGACCGAGAAATCTAGCAGAAAAGACTTTGCCAACTCTTCTGAAAGTTGCTTCAAGTTAAACTGATTTCTTTTTGAAATTTCGAGTCTACTTGGCATGATTTCGACTAAGTATTTGTTTTATTTAGGTCGAGCTAAATAAAACTTAGTCTTTGGTTCGAATGTTATTTCAACCAAATGTTCGAGCTTATCGTTGAGCTAAGCTGAACAAAGACTTAGTCAATATCTTTGAAGATATTCTTAAGGTCAGGTTAGAATCTATTGAGAATCTAGCTCGATCTTGGAGATGTTCTCGAATTTTAGCTCGAGAATTGGCAGAGTGCTTGACTGCCATTCAAATCAGACTAAGTGAGACTTAGTTGATTTCTTAGGATCATATAAGATCAAGCAAGAATCTGTTTAGAATCGAGTTTGACAAGATGTATATGTCCCGAGCGAACTTCGAATCGAGCTCGATGCTGCGATAGAGAAAGTTTTTCGCTGTAATGACTTGGGCAAGTCATATGTTTTGCTTCGGATTTAACACCTGTGTAGGTTTTCATCCATTTTTAGCAACAAAATTTTGTTTGTTACTGTTTTTCGCCGCGTTCCATCTGTTACAGATTAGAGCCCGACTTCGAGTATCCACCTCTTGGAAGAGAGAAGATTTCTCGCGAGCTAACGTTTTGTGAACGATCTGCAAAGTCGGCTGCCGCTCGTTGTGAGCAAGCAATCCAATCTAGAGCTAATGGAGTTGTGGAGATTGTCCATGTTGCGGTTGAATATACTCTTCGTGATGAAGTAGTAGGTCGGTTCTTCATGCTGCTATCGGGGATAATACCCAAGTGACTCATTTGAGACGAACTATCTCGTTGAGGTCGAATAGCGAACAATGAGGATGGAGCTCGAAATGAGCAAGAGATGATAATCGGACTCCGAATTTGTCGAGCTCCTTGAAAAAGCGAGTTAACTCGACGGCGAGTCCGTCATCCCTTTTAATGATAGATTGTTCGAAGGATGTGCCAGTTTTGGATAATCCTTGAACATTCATGTTGCGCCAATGCGGGCCTGCTGCAAATCAATCTCCAGTTTTGGATATGACGCTCGAGAGGGAGCTGTATGCGGCAGCGATGGCGGCGGATGAGAAGGTATGGTTTTACCTTTTCTAAGTTTTTGCCGATGATTTGATATCTTCGGACTTAATATTTGCGATTTCTCTTTATCAAGCTTTGAAGGTGAACATGAAGCTCTCTGCTCGTTGTGAACAAAGGTTACATGAAGCGTCTTGACAAGATGAGCTTGATAAGATGAAACAGGTGGTAGATGAGCTCGATACTAAGCTCGAATATGTGAGATATAGAGTAGCTCGTCAAAGCGACTTGCTAAGGATGAGCTCTATTCTCGTTTAAGTTTCGAACAAGTTAGCTCAGCAAGGTTTTATGCTTTGCCTTTGGATTTGGTGCCTGGAAGGCTTTTATCCTTTTATGTTCAAACTTGTTTGCTCGGAATGAGCTTTGTTTGATAATTTTTCTTAGACGTTTGATGTCTTAGAGTTTATCTTTGTTTTCCAGATCAATTGACTGTTAGCTCGATTGTTCGAACATTAGTCGTTTTGGTTTGATTGGAGATTTGACCTAGCGTGTAAGCTAACTGGTCGGACCGGATGAAGCTCAGTTGATCTCTTTGAGAATCGTATAAAGTTGAGCTAGTTTCTTTTTGAATTCCAGCTCGAGCTTTTAACGTGTTGAGCTTCAACTTGGAAGGTTGCGTCGGGTTGAGCTAACCTTTTCGGTTGAAAACGACTGATTTTAGATGATCGTCTGAATTCAGTAGGTGGTTCTACACAATCAGCACTCGAGCTTCATCTTTAAAGATTACTTTAAGTCGAGGTGATTTATTTTGAGACTTTTAGTCGGATTCGACCGGTGTTTGCCAATTGCGTGATTTTGTAGATTATCTACATGATCAGCAGTTGGGCTTGATTAAAGAAACACTGCTCGGGGTGAGCTGATTTCCTTTAAGATTTCAGTCGGGATTTCTGATGGCCAGTTGTGTGATTTTAGATTGATCTACATGATCAGCACTTGGGCTTTATTGTTAAAGACTGCTCGTTGGTGAGCTAATCTCCTATTGGATTTTCAGTTGGGTTCGACTGGTTTTGATGGTTAATGAATGAGAATGAATCTTAACTTGTCAAACTCATCTTATGCATTGATTTCACTTATATTAGACTATTTTAGAACATGGGGATCTCTCATTCAGGATCCAACATGTTTATTTGGTTTATACTTTTTTGGCCTAGATTGGGAAACAAAACTCATTACTTGGGATCTCAATCTAAGGCCGGATTTAACAGTGATTTCAAGTGTTTTGCAAGGACTTAACTATTTGGCAGGATAGCTATGAAGGAGAGTTGCTTTAGCCAACCAAAACCACAAAGCCTATGGCGGTTCAAAGGAGATTTCAAAGGAGTTTCATACACAATCACAAGGAACATGGCAGTCACCACCTGGGAATGATAAAGGAGGATTAGAAATCAATTCGGTCGAAGAAAATCTCAATTGGCCCGAGTGGATTTGAAGAAATTCAATCCGGCATTTCTCTCGGCCATGACGCGTACAAGGAGAACCAATTCTCGGCCAACTCCTAAACGGCGTGACCGAAGTCCACCAAACTTCACAGGCGACCATAAAATCACATTTTGGTCGGCAAATCCAAAAGATAGGACGGAGAAATCATCACGGATCATGAGATAGACGACGGAGCTCATTCTGGCCGATGGCGCGCAAGCAATATGGCCGACAAAACCAAATCACGGCATAGGCGCGCCAACCGGTTGGAAAACTCTTCTTTGAGCTTAACTAACACTTTTATGCAGGAAGAAACGAAAAGGAACGAGCCAAACTTCAATGGCCAAGGAAACTCCTTCCCGGAGCCGACTTGACCATTTTGTGAAGGAAGTCTCAATCCCTCGTAAAATGCTCCCAAACTTCACCAGAGGCATAAAATACCAGGTTGGTCGATGAAATTTCAATATAGGTCATGAAATTTTACGGTTTGTTCTGTAGTTCACAGCACCACATTTTGGCCGACCGAATATACCAATCTCGGCCAAAACACAAACCGGCGGAAACCAAGGCCTGAAATTAAAAACTCACCGACCAATATTGCCTAAAGAAGTGTAGAATGACCCAAACCGGAACTGATCTTCATTATAAATTGGTCGACATTTGGTAACATCATCCTAAACCTTTTTCTTTTCAATTTTTCATTTGAACTTCATGTTATACCTCTCTTAATCCGATTTGATTTCACCGGGACGGTGCAAGTTAAGTCTGGGGGGATTACTAACAATGTTTGTTCATTTTGGCATTTTCATTTGCATTTTTCCCTTTTATCGAGTCGTTTTTATTGAGTCAAAATTTTTGTCGAGAATCATGACCTTATCTTGGATCTAACCATGGTTGTACTAATGTTTAAGTGACCATTGAGCAGTTCTTGGCAATACATCTTACCACAGGTGCACTATGAGTTGATCGATCTACCAAAAACGCCTACATCTCTAAAGACTTGAGAAGGATCCATCTTTGACTCCGCCCTTAATGAACTTAATCTTCTCAGCTAGGGGCTTGGCATACAAATGGCATGATTCCTCATCCTCTCCATCAAATGAAAAAGTCTTAGTGAGTTCGTGCTTCCCTCTCTCTCCCCTTCAAATTTAAAGAAAAAGCGTAAGGTCCAAGTAACCGGGGATTCGGTGGCAAACACCATCAATACTCGCGTCTATGGAAGGCCTATGAATCCAAGCAACCGGGGATTCGGTGGCAAACACCATCAATACTCGCGTCTGTGGAAGATCCAAGCAAAACCTCTATAATAAAGAGAAGGAGTTGAATAAAAAAATACTTCGCTACCCTAAAAAAGGGATGAATCAACTCAAAGAAGTGAGAAGAGAGAGAGGAGAAACATGGAGTAAAAAGACAAGTGCCAAACAAGGGGATGAGTAAGAGTCTAAAAGCCGGCTGATCGATACTCCCTAGTTGAGACCACACCTTTAGAAATGAAAGGAGTCAAGGGTGGCGAATTGGATTGTCCAAGGAGAGGTGGACCGCTTTGGGAAAATCGCAAAACTCATGGTATGTACTTTGTTCTTAATTCAAAATTGCCAATGCTGTTTCATGTGGATTACTAAAGCATAAGTCAATTTGGATTTCCAAAAGATTTGAGAGTTCTCACGTTTTCAAACCTCTTTTCCTGCTTAGTTTGCTTGGGGACAAGCAAAAGGCTAAGTCTGGGGGAGTTGATATCACCATATTTTACATGATTTTACTATATATTTTATGTTTTCAAACGGTTTTTGCAAGATTCTTTGCCTTTAGAGGTAGTTTTCTTGTATTTGTGGGATTTGAAGTCTTAGGGAAACTATCAAAAAGGATGCAAAAAGGAGTAAAAGAGCCTAAACCAAGATCCATGCAAGTTTCCAAGTCAAGAAGATCATTTTATCTCCAAGTGTTAGTTCTCGCTAGCGCGCAGAACGAAGCTTCGGAAGTTTGGCCGCGCGCGGAGGAGTTCCCGACGTCCAAAAGTTACGATCTTGATATGGAAAGATAGATACTTGAGTCATGCATCACGTCGAAGTGGAATGAAGCCATTTGGATCAACTATGGGCCGGAACTTATTTTCTACCGAGACATGTCCGGTAAGCGAGTAAACGAAGCCCATGGAGGATTTGGAGTGTCTAATGGCCCGAGCAGCAGCGCCAAAGGCCTTGATCGAAAGAGAAGAGGCCTGGCTAATGTTTGGAGCTTTCCTTGGTACAATGTCGGCCCATACACGACGTGGAGAAGAAGGCGGCTCATGGGAAACTTTCCTTTTCCGGCATGAAGAAAACCCTACCGACTTCGCCCATATATACATGTTTTTAGCCGCTGAGAAAGGAGAGAGGTAGTCGCCGTCAGAGAGAATAGAGAGCCGTCCTGTGAGAGAAGAAGCAGAGAGAAGAGGCGTCCAAGATCAAAGACACCACACACACTCACTTTGTTCTTTCTTTTTCTTCATTTCTATATTGATTTAAGAGTTTCAAGGGAGAATCCGACTTTGTTCATCAATAGAGAAGCTTTCTTCATCCCTTTATCTCTTTTAATACTTGCACATAATGCTTTCAATCATCTTTGCTTGTTTGTTTGCATCATGGCTGAGTAGTCTTATTGTTGGGTTCAAGAGTTTTCAAGGGATTCATGGATTGATCACTAGGTTGTTAGATTCGGGATTATTGATTGAGTTACTCATCTAGATTTGTGCTTAATGCTTATAGCTTTGACTGACGTCTTGCTACTGCCTTATTGTTGATTTACTTTCCGAAAGCTTGATAAATCACTTGATATAATCTAGATGAGCAAATCACCATAACCTGCGGGAGTAGAATTATGATGCTTTGTGGAACATACTGAATTTGGATTGTTGTGCTTGTTTAACCAATTGATTACCTATGGGAGTAGAGTAATCTTAGGTTGTTTAGACATATTAATTGACCTTGCGGGAGTAAGTTGATTATCAATTCATAATTCAAGTTCTTGATCATATCTATTGATTCCTTGTTTAAACCAATCCTTGATGACCTATGAATTCTCTTGTGCCCAATGCTTTCCCTATTGATTTGATTGTTGTTTCACTTGATTTCAAGCTTACTCATTGTTATTTTCGTCACTGTTCACAGCTCTAAAACCAAACCCCCATATTTAGTTTTAGCTAAGTTTTAATCTCATAAGCTCATAGTGCAACTTTTCTGGTCCTTGTGTTCGATAACCCATACTACCAACGATCCGTGCACTTGCGGTATCTACTAATAGTTGGGTAAAACTTATCTCACATCAACCAGTCACCACAGTTGTTTTGGAGGCCTCAACTTGCTGTGGCTAGTCCGGGTTGCCTCGCGAGGCTCTATCTGTGTTTAGTTTTGTCCACCCCGCAGGCGGAGGCGTCCAAGCTATCAACCTGTTGACCCTATCTGGTTTAGCATTCTTCACATTACATGATTTTATCGCCTGAGTTACCTCCTTCGAAAGGTCTTTAACAAAGCGTACTATATCTCGACATTTTCTGTTCTCACCAAAGACATTTCCACATCTCCATTTCCAGGCCCACCAAACCGACATAGCAAACAAAATAGTCCATGACAAGCCGTGGACTACAACATCTTCTCCCAAGTTTTCATACAGCCATGATAGAAAAGACTGATACTCTCAGAAGTAACAGTTCTGGTCTAAATGCCTCACATCGCCGGACAATCTCTGAGAATATGCAAGATTGATTCCACACCTCCCTTACACACTCTGCAAATGTCTGACTCACTTAAATGTCTTCTTTTCCGCTCAGAGTTGGTCATGGTACATTGGTTACAAGTTAATCAGAAGAAAAAAACGCATTCTCTCTGGTGCAGCTACAACCCACACACGACGGAAGAAGCTTTCCATATTCTGTCTTGGAAACTCGTTTCTCGTTAAAACCTGTACACCGATTTAATTCTTCTCATGATATCTCATGATTAGAAAAAAATAAAAAAAATAGAAAAACAAGAGAAAAAATAAGAAACCCATAAGAAAGACTTTGAAAAGTCATGAAAGACTCATAAGTCACATGTCCCTTCCCTTTGTGAATGGTTTTGTTTATATTAAAATTTAAAAATGAATTATGAACTTAACTAAGATTAGTATAATATTTGATTAACATTTGACATATTTATTCTGTAAGAGTACCCACATCGCAGAATCCCATGAGGCTTTTAAACTTTTTGTATTAAAAAAATGATTTTCGAGAAAAAAGGGGGAAAAGTGATTTTCTAAAAAAGAAAAGGAAAAGAAAATCCAATCGAATTGTGACATATGGCGAGTTTGAGTCACAAAGCCGACTCCACAACTACTTCATAAAGAGGTGATTATATTGTTTTTCCTTCCCAATTCTGTATTGTTGTTTTTTTTTGAGAAATTTGGCAAAATACTCAGAAGAAACAGTGTCTTTGTCTCAATACACATTTTTTTACAAAATCTTGTCCACCTAGATTTTTAGTAACTTATCATCCAATTTTACACTCAAATTGATTAACTCCTTAATTAATTAATATATATTAACTCAAATATAATTAAGTCAATATTCCTTCCACGACATTTTCTTTAACTCTCATCTCCTTCTCTCTTCCCCAAATTAAAACTCTGGATTTTCTTCTTCTTCTCTGCTTCTCAAGTCGGAACTTCGTCGTAGTCTCTTTGCGGTCTCTTATTCCGTCCTCCGTTGCCGTTTCTTCCTCTGTCCTCCGTCGTCGTCTCTTCCGCACAGTTCCGGCGCCGTCTCTAGCCGCTTGAAGCAGTACCACAGAAACAACAACAACATCAATAATGCAATTGGATGCAGCGACAAGACTCTAAACTGCCCTTACTGCAGAAGATTCATGAATGCTAGACCGAGGTGTTGTGATATGGACAAGTGCGTCTTCTCTGGGACGTATTCTCAGTGTTTAGGTTTTGTTAGTGAATATAGCGATGTCAAAGTTAGTGCCGAGAGGATATGATGAATTCGATCAAAGTTTTGATGTCTCTTACATTTTTATTATCCATAATGTAATATATCAGTGTTTAGGTTTTTATAGCATTGTCAGCTCTGATTCTAGCCTTCTAGGCATAAATTGTTTGTACTCAAGTTTCTGTTAGTGAAGTATCCATAGCTTATTTGAAAGTGTCTGTTTAAATCAAATTATTCACATTTTTACATACTTGTTATGGTTGCAATTTGAATTTTTCTACATTGCTCAAGTTACTTCATAGATGAATCAATTGTAAATGATAAATCAAACCTTATCAATATTCACATTTGTTTTTCATGTATGGTTGTGTTATTTTCCAAGATGAACAAATGAGCTAACTTGATCCGAGATGTTATGCATGCAAATATATCTGCTAGGGAAGTTGGGTGAAGAAAAAGAAAACAAGGATATTCATAAAGTTTTTAAAATTTTTGGTTAATATTTTCTGAGATTTTCGGTCGAAGATAAACTCTACATGTGGTAGAAGACTGTTTTTTAGCAGAAAACAAGCTCTACGATTGGTAATACATAAGGTATATGGTAGAACATGAAATCTACATCTACGTAGAAGCCTGTGTTTCTCGTAAACAACAGATTCTAGAACATGCACAAGATTGTGTCATCGGTAGAATATATCTTCTACCAAATTTACAAAATCGCAGAACATAAAATAACCGGTAGAAATGATATTCTACTAATAGTAGAGGTATAGATAAGCTATAGAAGTCGTGTTCTACTAAAAGAAGATGTGTAGATAAATGGTAAACATCAAATTCTAGCGTCAGTAGATATAAGAAAAGGTATAGATAAGCTATAGAAGTCATGTTCTACTAAAAGAAGATGTATAGATAAATGGTAGACATCAAATTCTAGCGTCAGTAGATATAAGGAAAACAAGTAGAATACATATTCTACTTTGAATTTCAAAGATGGTAGAACGAAACTTCATTAGATTTTTAAAATATCAGATTTCTGAAAATAAAATGTGAAAATATTCTAAAAAGTCTTAAAATTATTTATCTCAATTTTAGAAAAAATTGGGGTTCTGAAATAAACCATTTCATATTTTTACATATATTAAGGGTATTAAAGGCAAAAATAGGTAATAATGTGAAACTGTGTAGATGGACAAACCCTCCCTCTTTTGTGTGTATAATCACAAATCATGTAGCCTTAAGGTTTGTCCAAAAGAGAGAGATTTCTAGATTAAGAACATAAGCAAGAAGGATTAAGCATAAAGATCCCCAAATCTAGCCCATCTTTGACCCTAAAGGAAACTACTCACTACTCATGAATGTAAACACAAGCAAATGCAATGAAATCGATATCATATGAAAGAGGAGATAAAGATAAACAACTTTTATTGAAATAGCAAAATGCAAATACAAAGCAGATAATCCAAGATCTAGGATTCAAGAAGCAAGAGCTTCAAGAACACAAAGATTTGAATTAAGAGTTGCTAAAAGGTAAAGACAATAAATTAAAGAGAGCTAAAACAAAAATAAGCTAAAGATTGTTCTCTTTTTCGTGGCTTAGAGCCTTTAAATACAAAGGGAATTAGGTTTAGGGTTAAAGGAAAGTCAAGGGGGAAGCAACATTTTTCGGGTTTGACTGTTGACTTCTCAGCTCGATCGAGTTGAAGCTTGGCCGGTCGAGTTGAGGAACTCGACCGGATGGTCGAGCTGGTGGTCGAGTTGGTCTTCAAAATGGCTTCCTCCTTCTTCCTTTGCGTATCCAGTTGAGCTGCGTCCATGCACCGAGTTCTTCCTTGCTCCTCACGTCCCATATGCTCCAAAATGCTCCAAAAGACCTATTTCAAAGGACCAAACATGCATATGTATGCAAATGCAACCTAAAACTACTATGAATGCATAAGAAGAGAAAGGGAACAAGATATGATGCTAAAGCATGCTAAAACTATGCAAAAGATGCATAAAAGATGTACTAAAACCATGCAAAATGCAAGTACATCATTGTCGCACTACAGAGTTCATCTGGATTGCTACAGAGGTAGAGTGGTCTTCGAGCGAGATGCAGGGAGGTTGGTTTATCAGGGAGTGAGACCGACTTCCGGGAGTATTGTGATATCTGCTATTCAGGCCGAGCAGTTGTTAGAGCGGGGCTGTGAGGCGTATCTGGCGACGATTTCTATGTCTGAGTCAGGAGCTGGAGTTGTTATGGGAGATATTGAGGTTGTCCAGGATTTTGAGGATGTCTTTCAGTCACTGAAGGGATTACCACCATCTCGGTCTGATCCTTTCACGATTGAGTTAGAGCCGGGGACAGCACCGATATCGAAGACGCCTTACAGGATGGCGCCAGCTGAGTTGGCAGAGCTGAAGAAGCAGATAGAGGACCTTTTGTCTAAGGGGTTCATTCGACCAGTGTTTCACCGTGGGGAGCACCGGTGTTGTTTGTGAAGAAGAAGGATGGAGTTTCAGACTTTGTATCGATTACAGAGGTCTTAACCGAGTCACTGTGAAGAACAGGTACCCACTCCCGAGGATTGATGAGTTGTTGGATCAGTTGAGGGGTGCTACTTGGTTCTCCAAGATTGACTTGGCATCGGGTTATCATCAGATCCCGATAGATGAGGCAGATGTCAGGAAGACTGCTTTCAGGACGCGTTATGGGCATTTTGAGTTTGTGGTTATGCCTTTCGGTTTGACTAACGCGCCGGCAGCCTTCATGAGATTGATGAACGACGTGTTCAGGGAGTATTTGGACGTGTTCGTCATCATTTTCATGACGATTCTGGTATACTCGAGGAGTCAGGAGGAGCATGCGACTCACTTGAGGTTGGTTCTGGAGAAGCTTCGGGAGCAGAAGCTTTTTGCTAAGTTGAGCAAGTGCAGTTTCTGGCAGCGAGAGATGGGATTTCTTGGCCACATTGTTTCTGCAGAGGGAGTTTCTGTGGATCCGGCTAAGATTGAGGCTATCAGAGATTGGCCTAGACCTAGTAGTGCCACCGAGATCAGGAGTTTTCTGGGTTTGGCAGGATACTACAGGAGGTTCGTCAAGGGGTTTGCTACCATGGCGCAGCCGATGACGAAGTTGACTGGGAAGGATGTCCCGTTTGTTTGGTCAGCTGAGTGTGAGGAGAGCTTTAGTCAGCTCAAGGAGATGTTGACTACTACACCAGTGTTGGCGTTACCCGAGCCAGGGAAGCCTTACATGGTGTATACAGATGCTTCAGGCATTGGTCTTGGTTGTGTGCTGATGCAGGAGGGCAGAGTGATAGCATATGCTTCGAGACAGTGGCAGGGCAGTGAGCGTAACCGTCCTACACATGACTTAGAGTTGGGAGCAGTGATCTTCGCGTTGAAGATTTGGAGGTCTTACTTGCTGGTGAGACAGTACAGGTCTTCACGGATCACAAGAGTTTGCAGCATATCTTCACTCAGCCGATGATGAACGCGAGACAGACGCGCTGGGTTGAGTTCTTGGCGGACTATCAGGTGAGCATTAACTACCATCCGGGCAAGGCTAACCTAGTGGCGGACGCGTTGAGTAGACGGAGGTATGATTCCGCAGTTGAGCGAGATGTGGAGTCTCTAGTTGGCGAGATCAGTACCTTGCGTTTGTGTGCCATTTCGCAGGAGCCTTTGGGTTTAGAGGCAGTGGATCAGGCGGATCTACTTAGCAGGATCAGAGTTGCTCAGCAGAGTGATCAGAGTTTGCTAGATGCGACGAGAGTGACTGGTTCTGAGTATGAGGTCTCTGCGAATGGGACTATCTTGGTTCGTGGGCGAGTTTGTGTGCCTAAGGATGTGGAGTTGAGACATCAGATTTTGGGAGAGGCTCATGCGAGCAAGTTTTCCATTCATCCGGGAGCGACCAAGATGTACCATGACCTCAAGAGGTACTATCATTGGGTCGGGATGAAGAGGGATGTAGCAGACTGGGTTGCGAAGTGCAACACTTGTGCCTTGGTGAAGGCAGAGCATCAGGTTCCGGGTGGTCTTTTGCAGAGTTTACCCATTCCAGAGTGGAAGTGGGACAGGATTACGATGGATTTCGTGGTTGGACTACCTGTTTCGAGGACTTTCGATGCTATTGGGTGATTGTGGATCGGTTGACTAAGTCCGCACATTTCTTGGCCATCAAGAAGACAGATGGAGCTGCTGTCTTGGCTAGGAAGTTTGTGCGAGAGATTGTGAGGCTGCATGGAGTGCCAGCTAGTATTGTGTCAGACCGTGATCCCAGATTCACTTCAGAGTTTTCAGGCAGAGATGGGCACTAAGGTGCATCTGAGTACAGCTTATCATCCGCAGACAGATGGTCAGTCAGAGAGGACTATTCAGACTTTGGAGGATTTGCTGAGGATGTGTGTGTTGGATTGGGGTGGCCATTGGGCAGATCACCTGAGCTTAGTTGAGTTTGCATACAACAACAGCTTTCAGGCGAGTATTGGCATGGCTCCATTTGAGGCTTTGTATGGGAGGCCATGTAGGACACCCCTATGCTGGACCCAAGTGGGGGAGCGCAGCATGTATGGAGCTACTTATGTTCAGGAGACGACAGAGAAGGTCGTGTTGTGAGGCTGAACATGAAGGAGGCTCAGGATAGGCAGAAGAGTTATGCAGATAGACGCAGACGAGAGCTTGAGTTTCAGGTGGAGATAGAGTTTATCTCAAGATGGCTATGTTGAGGGGTCCTAACAGATCCATAGCAGAGAACAAGCTGAGTCCGCGTTTTATGGGTCCGTTTCCAGTAGTGGAGCGAGTTGGGCCATTGGCTTACAGGCTGGAGTTGCCTGAGATTATGAAAGCCTTTCACAAGGTTTTTCATGTGTCGATGCTGAGGAAGTGTCTTCACCCTACAGAGGAGTTAGTGGCTAGGATTCCAGAGGATCTTCAGCCAGATTTGACAGTGCCGGCAGTGCCTGTGAGGATTTTAGAGAGGAGGGAAAAGGTTCTGAGGAACAAGAGGATTCCCTTACTGAGGATTTTGTGGGATTGCAGTGGTTCTACAGAGGAGACTTGGGAGCCAGAGGCAAAGATGAAGTTGAAGTTCAGGAAGTGGTTCGACAAGCAGGTCGAGGAGTGAGCTTATTTCATCTTTGTAGCCTCAGTTGTTTTTTTTGGCTTTGGTGTTATTGTATTTTCGTTTTGGTTGTAACGATATACATTTTGGAGTTTTAATGAGATGCAGTTTTCCTCATTTTGCCTTGTGTTGTGAAATGGTATTCGGATGTTACATGTTTGACCAGTTTTGGTTGTGAGACGGTCTAATCTTATTGTTATAGACGTTTTCCGGAATTTTTACTCTAAGGATTGCGATCCTGAATAACTCATCATGTTTTTGGAGACTTCGTTCTCTGGCAGACTCTCTGGGTGCAAGTAGGCCTCAGTTGAGTGTAGCTTATCTGGGTGCAAGTAGGCCTCAGTATAAGCAGTTTAGTTCATCTGGGTGCAAGTGGGCCTCAGTATGGACGTTTCGGGTTCGTCTGGGTGCAAGTGGGCCTCAGTGCGGACCGGTGTGGACTTGTCTGGGTGCAAGTGGGCCTCAGTACAAGTTGTTTGGAGTGTTTTGGATGATGAGTTAGGAGTGAAATTTCTTGGAACGTGCTTATGACATAGGATATGACGTATGTCTCGGGGATCAGGTGAGGATCTCCAGTGTTGCGGCCTTGCGAGGTCGGGTTTTGTGGTCTTTGTGACGTTTGTTGGGATTCGAGGTCGAATCTAGTTTAGTTTAGCCCGGTTTGGGCCTAGGAAGCCCTAGAACTCGAAATAAAAAGGTGCAGCCGCGTTTCTTCTAGGATTTTTGCCGTTTAGTGGATTAGGAACATGAGAGAAGAGGAGAGAGGCAATCTGGGCAGATTTGAGGTGTTCTTGGACGAATCTGCATCGATCTGTTGCTGTTCTTCGCTTCTTCCTTCTCCTTTCCATGTTTCTAGCCAAATCAAGGTGAGTGCATGACTGTAGGCTCGCAGCTGCTAGATTTAGATTGATTGGCTGATTGTTCTTGAGTTGTTCATGTTGATTATGTGTTATTTAGTGTTGTTTGGGTGTAATTCGTGTGGATTTGGTGTTTTATGTGATTTTCGTGCTGTTTTGTTGAAGGAAGAATCGGCATCTGGAACTAGTCGGGCGACACCAAGTTTGGTATCGGTCGACACGACACAAGTGGGTGTCGACCGACACAAGTGGGTGTCGACCGACACCAAGCGGGTGTCGCTCGACACTAATCGGTTCGGTCCGGTTCAATTGAAATTAAAATTGGTTTAAATCGATTCTAATTTAATTGGTTAATCTGGTTATTTGGTTAAATTCGTATGCAATTAATTAATAAGTATTTTAATTAACTAAATGGTTTAAAATAATTATTTTAAAATATGGAAAATTATTATTTAATTATGAAAATTATTTAATAATTGAGAAATGAAGTTTTAATTATTTAATAATTGGAAAATGAAATTTAATAACTATTGGAGGTTATAAATATTATTAAATGTCTAGTAAATTGCGTAATTGGCTTGTAGGCAGGATGATTGCCTCACTAAGTATTTATTAAATACATATGCAACTCCAATTCAATGTGTTGCAGGTAAAAGGTTTATGTGATCGCGGAATCGAGGCTGAAGAGGGGGATGATAGGATTTTATTGTTTTACTTTATTTCATTTGAACTTGTTTAAGTTGTTAGACTTGTTTAATTATTTATTTGCTTCCGCCTAATTGAATCAATTCTTATTTGATTTATTATTTATTTAATTTGTTTAAAGACCTTCGCTAGAATTGTTTAGTATTTAATTATATAAAAAAAATTGTTGGTTGTTTCACCGCTAGTTACTCCTTCTGACCGCAACGTTGTCTTCTCGGATCTGGAATCCAAAGAGATGACTTGGCTCTTTCCCGGAGCTTTGTTTTCCTCTTTCTCCAGTTGTTTGTCTGGTGAGATCTCGGCCACTTTCTCTCATCCGGCGAGCTGTTGATGGGTTGTAAGGTACTTTTAAGGACTGAGTCGCTGCACATGTCCTTCACTCCGCCGGAGCTGCCAGATCGTGCACCGCTGCTCTCTCACCTCCAAGAAAAACTTCTTCCGTTCAGAAAATTCTCCCCCTTCCTCCGGAGCCACCGGATCCGCCGGATCCATGGGTACTGTCCCCTCCACCGTTCTCTGCTGCAATGAACCCCGATCTCCACCTGCCGCCGTCTGCTACTGTATCTCTTATCCCTGAGATGAGATCTAGCCTCTCCTGCCTCACTCGCTCAGATCTGTTGTGCTTCCCATTTGATACCGCAAAGGCTCACTGTTCTAAACATCTTCTCTGTTTGCTTAATTGTGTTGTGCCTTAGCTCTTGTTCAGCCTCTTTGATGCCTCTCACCAACATCGCTGCAAACCGGAACCATCTCATCGACCCGTTTGTCTCTGTTCGACATAGCATCACCACCGTCATGCTTTTCCCACCACCATCTCCCTTCACTGTCGTGCTTCCATTAGCCAAACTCATCCATCTCTCCGATGTCTTTCCCGGAGGTGATTTGCAACAGTGCAATCTCCAAGCTCTGCTCAACCTATGGGCTTGGTCCATCATTTCCCGCTCAAGCTTCACCGTTTTCATGTGTTTGTGTAGCGGACACGTTCTCATGCGATTCATTGTCACATTTACCGGATCATCATCTGCCGGGTTATCATCAGATTTTGCGGACCTGGTTTCAAGAGTACAGCCAACTTACCGCCATATCTCTAAACTTACATCAACAGTTCTCGAGTACTGCCAACCTACCGGCGCCTCTCTGAACTCGCATCTCTTCTTAATGGAGATTGATTCTAAACGCTCAATAGTATTAACGACGTCACGAGCTATTCCTCTTGTTCACTTGTTTTCAACAGTACAAGAACTCCGGATTGTTTTCAAAACGATCTTAGAAGCTATTTTGAAGAAACTTCCAGTTTTCATCTTTGATTTAAACTGTCTAACATATCCTGTTATTGCTTTGTATTTCATTTATGCATCAAGCTGCTTCTACTCCTTAGCAAAGAGGTCTCAACTTTCTATTGTAATCGGCCTTTAAGTTTGTTCTGATGAAAAGTTGTTAAAAACAAAAATTGCTCAGTAATACGTGCTATTTTTACAGAATTTACATGAGATGATAATGATGATATCATAATAGTCTTCAAATTGACACATTTGTATACCACATTGTTTCAACTATAACATTCATACAAAAAAAATAAAAAATAAAAATGTTTCGACTATAACTATGTGTGTGTGTATATATATAATCACGATTTCTTTTCCCCTAAGTTGCAGCCAGAATTGATAGTACCTCCATATTTTACTGTCTCCTCCACATTACAAGAATTGCCTTACAAGCACTCACCTTTCCACTGCACGAAACCTCTTTATTTGGTTTTTCTTTCCTAAAGAAAATATAAATATATTTCCTGTTATTTTCAGTTTGAAAACTTAATTGCAAATCATACAATAGGTATCCTTTGTTTTCTGTTATGCCTTCAACCACACACCTAACATTTTTTCCAAATCCAGTCCATACATTTGCCTACTTTATTTATACTTATCCTTGTCTTATTTATCGATTGGGAACCAAACTATGAGAATAACATTATAGCTACCTATTTCAAATATACCAAGTTCAATAAAAAGATTATTAAATTACCAATTGAAAAGAAGCATGTTAACCTACTAGACCTTTTAGCCCCACCTGCTATTCTTTTATTCCACTCTTCTATGAACCAAACTAATGTAAATCATATAAAATTAGTTTCGACAGAAATGTTGACCTCATAAGTCTTAAGTCTAAACTAGTATTTAGTACGTAATGGTGAGTTGACCATGAGGGTTGGTCTGGTCATTTGACAGTGGTAACACCATTAGTAAGCTAAATGAAACAGAAGCAAGCATGATAACGAGTTTTCATAGGCTCTTAAGGTCAAGTCTTTGGTTATATAACAAGTCATCTTGTTTCTTGAGGAAGAGAAAAAAGATCTGACGAACAATGACGACAACAAGACAGAACTTGGAACAGCCACAATCTCCATTGATGGAGCGCATCAAGAGCTCGGGGATGATAAACATTATCAATGGAAGCCCTATGGTCGATGATAAAGAAGAAGAGCTTACACGTTCTGCTTTTGCTTTGTTTAAGGCAAAGGAAGATGAGATTGAGAGGAGGAAGATGGAGGTTAAGGATAGAGTTCAGACAAAGCTTGGACTAGCTGAAGAAGCTACAAGAAGATTAGCCGAGATTCGTGAAGTAAGTTTTATTTTTAACATTTTCAAGAACTTGGATAAAGATTTTTCAAGTTTTAGAGAGTTGTGGTTGTAAACTTTCCAGGAACTGGAAGCTCTTAGTGATCCAATGCGAAAGGAGATATCCGCAATAAGGAAAAGAGTGGATACTATTAACCGAGAGCTCAAGCCTTTAGGACATAGTTGTCAAAGAAAGGTAATGAATGTATGTATAAGATGTTAATTATTCTCCTATCTTTCTTGCAGATTCTTGTTTTTGAATGATTGTTGTTTTTAGGAAAGGGAATTTAAAGAAGCCCTTGAAGCTTACAATGAAAAGAACAAAGAGAAAGCTATGTTTGTTAGCAAACTAGTTGAGGTAAAATCATTGCGTCTCCATTCTGTGTCACATTTCTTTTCAAAAAGATTGTTGTTTTCTGAATCTTTTTGTGTGTATGAAATGTGTCTCAGCTGGTTACTGAAAGTGAGAAACTTCGGATGAAAAAGCTTGAGGAACTCACCAAAAGCATTGAGATTTCGCTATGCTAAAAGATGATGATGACAATCGAACGTTATACAAAAGCAGCCAGCTTTTCTTCTTTCTTTCTCCACTTTTTATTTGTTTAAATTGATTCAATATTTGTTTTGTCTTTGCGATCAAATATTGTGTCCTGATTAAGAAACCTTGACCAGAAATGTGTTAAAAAACTCAGTATGATCTTACATTCTAATGTTTTCATTTCCATGACAATGTTCCACAAAATATGCTGATCAGTTCGGAAAACGACCTATTTTCCCATGAGAACTACTATTACATAGCATCAGATCTCGCCCAAACTATGCCCTTGTTCTAGAACTCCATCCAACAAAAGTTAAATTGCTTAATCTTCCTAACATATAAGTCCAAAAGTTATTTTCCCATAGAACTCGGTTTCAATCGGTTTTTGATGTAAACCAATAACTAAACATATATAACCGAAATTTAACGGAATAACGAATTTCTGTCCAAGTAGATCGCACTGCTATAGTCCTAAGATTTTGCTTACACTAGAAATGTAACCCGCACTACACGAAAGTATATATATATATATATATATATATATATATATATTGTATTTATAGTTTTGTATTTGATTTTGAAAATAATTTACATCAATTTTATAATATTTAATTAACCTCTATATGTCACTTTTATATGATACATACAATATAAACCTAAGCTTTTGATTACCCGAGAATGACTTCACACAAACAATAAAACAAAAGCTAATTAATATATACCCAAATATTTGGCTCGTGTTAGGAATGTCACGATTCCCTGAGAGGTAGGAATGTCACCCACGCTTTGCTGCCGGAATTCCTCTATAATGTTGTCTTTTATTTAAAGACTTATGTCAAATTCAAATGAAATAAGTTAAAATAATCAATACAGCAAAAACCCATGTGCCTCTCCAAGTAATGACACATCAGCTTTTTTTAACTTTTTGGAGTTGACACATCATTTAAAACGCCCAGCCAATAGAAACATTCTAAATAATACCAGTCATCAGTTTTTCGGTTTATTTGCTATGTTTTTTATTTGGTTTGATTTATTGATTTTCTTGTACCAACTGGTTTACGTGTTATTCTTCTTATCCCACGAATGTTTCACCTCATCTTTGGTACCGGAGATTTCAAGTTGGAGATCCCATCTTTTCGAGTTGATTGGATCGGCGCCGAAGATTTGAAAAGTTTGTTCTTCGTGCTCTCCTCTGATTCGACAACTACTTTCAACAGTCACTATATTGTCAAATGGAAATTCATTTTTGCCTCATCCTTCGTTATCTCTTTCAGCTATCACTACTGTGAGTCTCTGAGAGAGCTCACTGCAAGTGGAAAGCTATATAAAAGTCTTCTTTCACTTATACTGTTCACTTGTAAATATCAAATTAGGGATCTGAACGCTTCCGGTGTCTTGGATTCTCGATTGCTCCGAGTGCGAGCTTTCGATTGGTTCTATCCCCAGCTGCTGAATCTGGTAATTTGTTGAGAATTAGGTCTCAATGAAGCCTTCCACGATCAATTTCACCATGGAAGTTGTTCATTTGCGTTCGGGTCTGTCTTTGTCTGTTGCTAATCCACCGATTTTTGTGTATGTGTAGATTTCAGCAATTACGATGTAATGGCTCTTGTTTATTATCCCTTTAGGTTTATCGTTCGCTGTTTCTGGGTTTCTTACGTTTCGTGCTCGTGGAATTTGTTTGTACTTAGTACTCTGTGCAGCTGTTGATAAGGTGGAAATCTTAAGTTTACTATTGGAAATGGATCTCACTAGGTAAGGTAGAAGATGATCACATTGACTTTTATTAGAAGAAACATAATGTTTTTTTTTTTTTTTAATATTATTTTTTTTTTCAAAAATCTTAACAGAAAAAATATTATAAAATCGAAATGGTATGTTTATAATTCTTACTTTCACAGATATTTATAAAAAAAGATATATAAATACCATATAAGTATCATAGTAGGATTTTATTAGAATAAAGTTTAAAATAGTTTTTACCACATTTGATATTTTCTCTAAAATTATATATACACACTAAAATAAGAAAAAAATATATATATCAAGCGATGCAGTTGCTATTTTATGTTTTATTTTCAAATAAAAATTATAAATAATGATTTATAAACAGTGTTTTTGAAAATAGACCGGACTGGTCAGTCGAACCGGTTTGACCAAGAACCGGAAAATTACCCGGTTTGGTTCACTATAAAAAACGGTCTAAATAAATCCTCTAAAATTCATTTGAAAAACCGATTTAAAACCGGTGAACCAGCTCAAACTGGAAAGTAATCAAATATGGTTTTCTGAAATTTGAAGCTTTCCACCATTGTTTTTAGTGGTTTTTAAAGGTCAAGCTGTTTTTTAATTGTATATTTTTAAACATTTTGATGATTTGCGGTCTAAATTATTATAAAATTGATAAGATGTAACAAAAATGGAAGAATGTTTTTCAGATTCTTTGAAAGTCAAAGTAAAATGTTGAACGAGAATGAGATGAATGACAGCAATTTTTTGGTGAGGAAACATAAGTTTTATTTATATTATGTTTAGTCAGGCATCGTAAATAAGGTAACATAATTTTATTACTATATATTAATGTATATGTGATATACATCTACTATATATGTATAATTATGTATTATATGAACTTGGTTTAACCGTTCGACCGGAATAATCCATGACTCATAAGACTTTCAGTTTAGTGTCATATCCGGTTTTAAAAATACTGTTTATAAACTATAAAATAACCGTTTTCAAATGATACTAAAATAAAATAGATACGTTTGATTTTATTTTTCATATATTCGTCAAGATTCTCAATTTTAGTTATGATAGATATAAATAATGTCCAACAAAAAAAACTATAAAAAGAGAAAAAGAAAAACCTCTCGCAGCGTAGCGCGGGTCTAAATCTAGTGTTAATCAAATATCTTAGAATGTTGGTATATGTATGTTTTTCTTAATAACTTTTATTGTATGGATAAACTTTGGATAATAGTTTTTGATACTCGGCTGACCTTTACATCCATTTGATTGTATTTTTAATTATAAAAATAATCGTTTGGATTACAACTATACGATCTTGTCCATACCCAAACATTACCCACTAATATCCAACTTTTACTTACACATAAATTTTGGGTAATAGTTTTTGACACCCGATCCACTTTTACATCCATCCAATTGTATTTATAATTATGAAAATAACCATTTGAATTATAACTAGGGGGAGTTGCTGTTTTAGTCTATTTTTGGAAATTAATGTCGAGCAGGTACACCTAAAAAGTAAAATAGGAGAAGTAGTCCAGTTGAATAAAAGATCGGTGGACGGTGGAGACCGCTTTTCTCTCTCTAGGTTAATTTTTTACTTACAGTCTGGTAATTATAAATCGGTCAACAAGCAACGGTTTCAGGCAGCAATACAGCCTGCAAAAGAAGAAAGTATAGGATGAGGGCAAACTTTTAGTAAGATTTATATAATTAAATTAATCTGCTAATAATATCAAAATTACTCCGATACCAAGTTGTGGCGGTGTAAAATACTGTAAAAATTGATAATATAACAATTCTATAAGAACGATATGTAATTTCGTTGTCAAAAAACAATATTGAATTATCTTAAGTTTTTAAAAATATTAGTTTGTATGTGAATTTTAAGAACACTTAGTTATTATTATTAATATATCTGTTAGTTTTATATATTCAAAAAAATTTCACTCAAAACCAATAAATTAATAACACAATAAACAAAATACCCAAGTATCCACATTATTAATTACTTATATATATTCTGTAAAAATATGTATATATATATTATAATCACTCGAAAAATACGTTTCTACCATAAATAAATACTTATATTATGTACTCTTAATTCCTTGCTAAATAATAAGAAGAAATACCAACTAATTAGTTAGACTTCGATCTAGTATAAACTTCACTAGTAAACTTTATTCGTATATGTGAAATAAATAACAAAATTGTTCCGTACTCTCGTTTTATAAGATGTTTTCAAGTTTCTATGCAAAATTAAATTTGTTTATGTTACTTTAGATTATTTATATTCTTCTGATTTTTTTCCATCGGTTGCAATGTTTTGAAATTTATGATAAAATATATTTTAGAAAGTACAAAAGTACTTACTATCTATATGTAATAGAAAAACCCAAATCTGGTTTAAACATACCGTGATCTAAATGTTTATCCGTCCCTGCTACCTCAAGTCTGCTTAGCTACTAAGTTAAGTTTGCGTGCGCCCGGTCGTTAGTCTGCTATGCTGCTTTTTTCCAAAATTTTTACGACTTCGTTCTAGTAGAGTTCTCGTTTAGACTTCACTCGTAGACTTTATTCGTATACGTGAAATAAATAACAAAATTGTTTTCTAGTCTCGTTTTATAAGATGTTTTCAAGTTTCTATGCAAAATTAATTTTTTTTGTTACTTTAGATTATTTATATTCTTATGATTATATTTCCATTGGTTGCAATGTTTTGGAATTTACGATAAAATATATTTTAGAAAGTACAAAATTACTTAGGATCTATATGTAATAGAAAAACCCAAATATGGTTTAAACATACCGGGATCTAAATGTTGCTACCTCAAGTGTGCTTGGCTGCTAAGGCAAGAATGCGTGCGCGCCATAGTTAGTCCGCTATGCTGCTCTTTTTTTCAATATTTTTACGAATTCGTTTTAGTAGAGTTCTCCTTTAGACTTCACTTGTAAACTTTATTCGTATATGTGAAATAAATAACAAAATTGTTCTATACTCTCATTTTATAAGATGTTTTCAAGTTTCTATGCAAAATTAAATTTGTTTTTGTTACTTTAGATTATTTATATTCTTTTGATTATTTTTTCATTGGTTACACTGTTTTGGAATTTATGATATAATATATTTTAGAAAGTACAAAATTACTTACTATCTATATGTAATAGAAAACCCAAATCTGGTTTAAACATACCGTGATCTAAATGCTGCTACCTTAAGTGTGCTTGGCTGCTA